TTCAGCAGATTAGGTACAAATAAAAATTCAAGAACTAGAATTGGATTATGCCAAAATGAAGTGTGAATAAGACTGTTTTACAATCTACCCTCACCTATCATAAATAGATAATTTTAAAAAATTGCGACTACATTCACGAATAACGAAAGAAACATCTAAATTATGACTTCAGTCATGCTCATAAGGAATACGGGAGTGTAGTACAGTAAAATTGTTACACAAAGTTTCATGTAATAAATATTAGCGTGAATTTAGAAATAATTCCGTTAATATACTGGATGAGAAAAGAGAAAATGTAATGTTTTTCAGTCTCATTACGCGTTGCTTATATTATAATATTACACGATACTTGTCTCGTTCCTTTATGAAAGTATCCGCGAATTGAGCGTCACTGTGCCACGTCACCGTTAGTTTTCACTTCTGTTTTCCTACTTCGGTCTCTGCTCTTTAACAAATCTACTTCCATTTTGTTGATGTATACGTATTTTTTTACACCATATATTTCTATATTATACACGCAAACGCGATCAGAGTATTAAAAGAAGTAGACATTCTTTTTATAGACGGAGCAGCTATGTGGAATTAATTTATAAATTTATATTTTTAATGTATTTCGATTAAAAGTTATATACAGTTAAGGCTTATACATAGGAAACAGTTGAAAAAGACGTATTTGTTATTTTAAATTATTTTAACATTTTCTTCAAAATCGAAAGTATACTACTTAAACAAAGTATTTTCAAACACTTGCAATTATTCGTTCATTTAAGATTTACAAAAAATACTGACAGTCCTATATTATCATATAAAAATATGTATAATTTCTTGTTATAAAGTTCAATAAACGAGTTGACTGAATTACATAAAAATTAAATACCCAAATATTGAAATAATGATGTTATGATTGAAACTTGCAATATTAGAATATCTTTTGCATCAAATAAGATGAAGATATATATTTACTTCACCTTCATTATTTCACAATTAAAATATTAGATCTGTGATTATTGTTAAACGTACTTCAGTAAAAATTATACTTTATTAAGAATATACTTGAAAAAGTACATTGTTAGGCTTTAGATGGTATTCCACTTGAAAACACTTGATAAAGCATTGTTAATATATACATATTTTTCAACTTTTTTCTATTTTACACGTGCGAATGGGAGCAGAATATTAAAAGTAGACGTTCTCTGTATAGGCAGAACAACTATATTCATACTCATATCATAGAATTAACTTATACATTTACGTTTTTAATGCATTTCGATTAAAAGCTATATGGATACAAGCCTCATACGAAGGAAACAGTTTTGAATTGTTAATCTATTATAGGAGTGAAACGATTATATCCAAATTTATTCTTGCAAAGTAAATATTCGTTTTTATCTCATTCAATGCTTCTTTTTCTAAATCCGTTCACGGATCCACGATTTGAGCGCCACTGTCGAACAATAACTTCGTGCCGCTGCGAGCTCTCAAAATGGCTGTCCTCAGCTATTATTACTTCGGGGAAAAAACAAATGACGGCGCGCTCACGCTACGAGGAGAGGAGAGACAGCCAAGGCTCTCTGTATATCGCACGCTTGTAAACGCGCGCACATTTACGTGTATGTGTAAAGTGTGAGGCGTGGGTGTGTACAGACGCGTTCAGAATCCTCGATCTACGTACAGAGTCAAAAACATCAAGTGCACCTTACGTGTTCCCTCGATTCCGGTTCTATCACACTGATAATATCGTTTCTTGATTCCTTCGCTACGCGAAACATAAACAAACCTATAAATAACGAACAAACCGCGCGACTTTCTTTTCTGTTTATTTACAGGTCACGAAACATTGTGTACACGGTATGTACATGTACTTTCTGTTCTGAATTAGCTGGCAGTTGAGATAAAGCCTGATCGACGAAGACGTTAGTACGACTGTACACGTAAAATTCTAGACGAAATGATCAGTGATGGGGTCAAGAGTTATCGAGTCTTAAAGGTAATTAAGTTGAAGAGGCCGTGTCTGGAATATTGTACGAAAGGTTTTATGTAATGTTATTATTAAACAGAAATTGTCAGTACGAGCACTACCGTTTCGAATATACATTTCGATATTTAATTTGAAATCTTCTTTAGTAGAGAAAAATGTAAACTAGAAACATCATATAAAAATTGGACCCAAACAGGCAACCATATAGTTACAATAATAGAAAATAGAATGTAAATTTACATGTAAACCATATGGTTAAAGTTAAACAATATCCTTAAACATTGCCGTACGACTTATTGAAAAATACTTTTGTAACATTTGTTACATAGGAACATTTTTAAATGTTTTATTAACTTTCGCTGGATTGTGTAAATATAAGCTGATGTTCTATTTTCTATTATTTTGGCTCTATTATTACCTATTCTATTTGTAGATTGTATTTTTCAATATTAGAGAAGGCTCGTTCTAATAATGTCTATTTACGTTTTTATAATTTAATTTTTCAACTCACGAGCATTGATTATGGCTTTCTTGCAAAAGTATTAGACTAGTTAGTTCTAATAATAATTTGATTCAAATAATATATAACAAATATAACTAATGTATAGGGATTTATATGCGATATTTATGCAATTGAACAGTTAAATTTGTATTTGTATAATGTACTTTGTTCTATAATTCAACTTTTAATTCCTATTCAAAGAATAAAAGGAAACCAGATGTGTTGTTTTTACTTGTTATTCAATATTTTCATTCATATCAGAATTTTGCTCATATTTGGTAGACATTCCAAAAAATCATGGAATACGTGAAATATTCTAAAATGTTAACACTTAAACTTATCGAATAGGGATATGTTTTGAAAGTAAAAAAAAACGTAATTGTAAAAAACAATGCGTCCACCACTTTTAAGAGCTATAAATATAGTATTACGAAAAAATGATATATAAACAGTTTCATGTGAGGAAGACCCCTTAAGAAAAAAGTTTGCGAGAATATCAAATTATTTCAACCATTTTAAATCAATTCAGTATTGCATCTGTATCGTATATATCTTTGTTTTTTCTCAGAATTTTAGATATTTTTGACTTTGTTTAATAATACCACAACTCAAAAATGTATTTTTACAATTTCTGCTGTCTGAGTGTTTATTTCGCCCTAACACGAAAAAGGCACGATAAATTTTGATAGGCGTATAGATTTCTCTTTGGTATGAAGAATAACAAAAAAATTTTTAAAGTTTGAACTTTGAAAGTTGTTTAACTTTTATTCGTCATTTGTAATTTTTGTGCAGACAAGAATTTTGCCCACCTTTAGGTACATTCGTCCTGGAAATTACCATTAACCGTTGACCGTACCCCAAATGCACAAAGGCATCCTAGACCCTGCTCATAAAATTATGCACTGGGATCGTGTTTCCTTTCCGAGAAAGTTACCATGAAACTACGATTCACGGTATATTAGCAATTTTTCAGTAAATTGAAAGGACTATAAATCTACTTCGACGTCTCAAGGTTTGCGTTTACATTTAACGTGGCCATCGTAAATGGAAAACTAAGCGTGTACTTTGCGTATTACTAGTTTCAAGGGAAATGTTTTCTGAAAAGAACCTTATCCAAAGTTGTGACAAAATTCTTCCTGTGAAATGTCTTAAAATTGTGTACACCCGTAGATCTACACGAATGTTATCGATACCCAGTGTTAATTTTGTCTTATGTAGAATTACTGTTATATAATTCATAAATTATTTTCTTGGTCTTGATCCTTGAAACAATTAAACTGTTGATTTTTTTGGTAATAACAGAATTCACAAATATTTTAAATAACAGTTAAAAATGTTTCGATTAAAAATGTCACAAACAAAAATTAATTTGTTTTATCTTAATAGGAGCATTTTTACCCGCAATGTTGCTAATTAAAAAATAAATGAATTATTCTTATCAATTAAAAAAAAAACTAATTTCACTAGACATTATTGAAAAATTTTGTGACTGTGGCTAGAATGGTAAAATGATTTTTTTGAACAATTACATTTGTTGAATAGAACAATTAGAAGTTTACAAGGAACTATTTTTAAATTGTATGTATCATATAACATAATTCCGACCTACAAGACTCTTATTATTGTACTTTTCTTTTCTTATAAAATTAAAATTTGATAAGTTAACAAGTATTTATGATGTAAAAACATTGTTGGTGAACTTCTAGGGAACTCCTTAATTCCATGTATGAAATTATGTTGTCCATATATTGGCAACAAAAGTGTTCGATTTTTATATTAAACATAAAAAAGAAATTTTTGTTTCTTTGGAAATATCGTTGAATTATTTCTGTTTAAGTTTCCCATTCTTGGTTACAAAAGGAAATTCAATTTTTTAACAAAAGTCTCACGAAGATAACTTCAACCATTCAAAAATCATTAATAGGAGTGAGAAGCCCTCATCTCTAGAGACTCTATGGAAAATTAATGACCACGTAGATCTTCAAATGTGTAAAATTGGAAGCCAATTCAAATGGGAAGTTTCTGTCGATTTAGAATATAGACGAAAGTAAAAAAAAATTATGTCTTTAAATAAAGACCTTATTTAACTAAAATTTGAACTCAATAAGAAATAATTGCTTTTCACCTTTTTAAAATTTGTTAAATGTCGAATAAAATTTCAAGTGAACCAAAGAGGTAATTTAGTCCACATCGAATAAGATCAATATTAAAAATCTCAACTTTCTATAAATCAACTGCTTTTGTTTTAAATAAAGAAGCTACTATTCGATACTATTATAGTATCGAACGTGGATTTAGTTGGCAAGAATAAATAACCGTTTATCTGCAATAATTTCTTTAATTTCGAAAATTGTATGAAAAACAATCTAACAAATTCTTTCGATTAAGATGCTTTGTTGTATTCTTCGTGTGTGTCCATGTGTCTGCATATGCATGCATAAGCACGCACACGCATGTACAGTTACGTAAGACGCCTTTTGTCGAAGGCATGTGGAAATAAATGATAAAAGAAAAACTCACCGTTTGAAATGCTCTCGTATGCGATCCTCTCGGATGTTTTCCGGCAGATTTCCAACCCACAGGTGACGTGTCTCTCTAACCATTTTGCTCCGAACTCTTCATTTGGGATCGGATGTTGTGGTATCGTTTGGCAGCACTGTACAACGACACACAACTTCGCCCGACGCTGATCTCACGGCACTCTCACCACACTACCCGATATATTCGATACCGCCAGCGCGGCTCGGTCGAGGAAAACCCTTTTTATCCTTTACTTCCCTATTTTACTTCTAATATTTCCCTCGTTTACGCGAGAAATCAATGGATATCCATGTGGGTAAACTCCGAACGACACAATTGATTTCCAAATTCGATTACACCGTATTTGAGAAGAACTCGATTCGATTCGATTCTCGAGCAACTCGCGACGTCACACACGACAAGACGAAGGGGAAACCGTTACGTGTATTCCACGGGGTGAAGGAAGAAGCTTCCTTCCCACTTCTCGACACTCTCGATTTATAATCACTGGGCAACAAACAGATTATCACTAGTCACTAGCCGGAAGGTAGTGACCCCAAGCAGGACGAGTGCTGTCGTCAGGGCAGCGCCGTGGAACGATCGGCCGATAGAAGAGGGTGGCAACCGAGCTCTCGCGATAAAATTTTTTTTGCGTCGCGACGCACGCCGACGACGAAGAGGAGGAGAAGCCTTGATAGCGGACACCACTGATGACAACGGCTACGAAGATCGGGACCGTTGCCGTACACCACATCGTATACCACTGGGGAATCGCGTATGAAGAAAGCCGATTTAATCACACGTCACACCGAGCACACCGAGCACACAACGCGCGGGCGATACATCCCACGCATATTCGTCGAGCAGAGAATCACCACTCGCGGTCGATCTACCGTAATTTTATATGCCTCGTTCCCGTGTCGTACCACCGACAAAGAGAGGCTATGGTACGCTGAAACTCTCCGGCGGTAACCCCACTGAAAACAATCGATCTACCGACGATAGAGAACCGTTGCCTTTTCTTCCTGTTAAAATTTCAACGCGCACGACACTACTTCTTTTTTTTCTCTCCCTCTCTCTCTCTCTCCTTTTCTCCTTTTCTTATCCACTTTAGCGTAGTCGCTTCCTATCACATCACTGAATTATACGTCGAATACGTATATATACATACAGATATATATAGATATATATTTTTGTTTCGAGTGAAAGCGAGTCGCGTCTTCTCTACCTTTCCTCGCGATCCAACGAAAAAACTTGTGTGTCACGTAAACGTGCGTTTATCGAAGAAAATTATAATCGTATCGGCAGAAACTTTCGATCGCTACGATGCACGTTTGTATATGTACGCCTTAAACGCACTCACTTCGTTCACTCGGGCCATGTAACGCGGATGGGAGCCGACTTCGCTCCTCCTCACTGCACTACACTACTCAGAGTGACGTCACCGTGGCGGGAGCGTAGTACGGCTCGCTGGCCAGTATCTCTGTTTGGCCCGGTGGTGGGGGAACAGCGCGCAGGGGAACGAAACGAGTCTACCACGAAGAAGCGGCGGGCGGCTTGCAATCGCGATCGTCGCCCGCCAGCCGGTGGAGTGTGTTCCACGAGTGGGGGAAACTTTTCGTGCGTCCCGGTGGGGAGAGCTGTGGGGGGGGGGGAAGGAGACTCGTTCGAATCGAAGCAAGGACAGGTAGGGGAGAACTCGGGACTCCCGGAGAGAAGGGATAACGGGTCGAACGAGCTAACCCGAACCCCCCCCCCAGCCGCGCTCGTCCCTTGCGAGCCAGTTCTCTATCTCTCTCGCCACGCTCTACCTCTCCTCCTGGCTCTTCCCGTCTCTTCCGATCGTCGCTCCTCCCCCCCTCTACACCTCTTAACGAATCACCCAGCGCCAGCGATGGCTCTGACACGATTACGTGTCCACGATGCTCGAACAATTCGATAACAAAGCAACCGATACAAGTGTAACTTGGATTTTCTAGCATTCGAGCATTTATTAAGTATCATGACGAAATTTACCATAATGCTTTGAAATAGTTAAATTAAATAAACAAGACAAAGAGAATTCGTGCGACCATAGTTAAAATATATTCTTCGAATGTTCCAATCCTATTTCTAGATTTTCGTTGGTCAAGTTCAATTCTAAACAATTCTAAAAGATCAACGTAAACTACATAAGACTACGTAAACTTTGAAAAATTCAAAGATTGTAAAAATAACAATATAAAGTGAAATTGAATAAGAAAATCGAAACCTAGAATAAAATCGTAGTAGCAAACGTAGCTAAACGTAGTAGCAACAACAATACTTTAATACGAACGAATAAAATTATAAGCTCTAGAAGCAGTCGATTAACTTTATTAAACGTTAAACGTTTTGAATTTTACTTTCGACCCTCTTCGATAACAATTCGCGAACCAGTTGTTGATTTAAATAATTAAAAAGGTTAACGAGGAGGATCCAAACAGTAGATTAAAACGTTTAACGTTCAATAAAGATAAACAATTGCTTTCATTGCAATTTTCACCACAAATATTAATAATTCAACTTAATAAAAACAAAGAAGTTATTTATTATAATTAGAGTAATTATCATTGTTCACTAAAGGTGGAGGTAGCTACATATACATATGTAAATAATTTTATTATTTTTTCATAAGTTCTGTATCATGTTGAAACGTAAATAGAGTAAAGCAAATTGGCCAAATATTTAGGTAATACCGGTATTTCATTCTTGTAAGAAAATGGGTTCGGAAATCTAAATAAAATGCTTGGTCAACTAATGACCAAGCATTTTATTTAGATAGAATTAATCCACAACACAAAGTGAATTTAAAAATCTGAGAACAAGATAAATTTAGATTTAATAGAAATATAAAATATTCAAATATTTATTCGGTGTAGAAATTAATTTTGTGCCTTTATATTCACTTATAACTTTAATTTAAACAGATTTACTTACTCGTCATTTTGATGCATTAAAGATTAAAGTTCCAACCTTCTATTCAATGTCTCTATTCACATAACCTAAGTATCAACTTGGTAGCCATTACAATGCATCTATACGAATTTTAGTAACCACAAAATTTTTCTTATTGTTTTTCTTCTACAATTATTATAATTATCAAGTACATTTGTAATCTGTTAGAAGAAGAATAATAAGTAAAATTTTATACATGTTCATAAGTTGTGTTATCAGGTTAATACTTAGATTATGCAAGTTTCATATAAATTCATTGTAGTGGAGATAAAATCGAGAAAATTGGTACTTTAACGTAACAAAATGGCGAATAAGTATTTGGATTTAACCTAAGGTTATAAATGATCGAATATAAAGGCACAAAATTAATATTTATAGCAGAAGCTTGATTCAGCTTGTAAACATATTATTTGTTTTAAACACAAGGACTGACCAATGTCGTTATGGTATCGATAGTATTGATTCGGTATTGTTCCCATCACTACTCAGCACCCCGTCGTCCCGTCCTCTTTTCTGCGCTTCTCTTCCTACTCTGTCGCTTCTTCGTCCTCTACCTCCTACCTCGTGCCTCCACCACCGACGCCTCTCGACCGCCATCTTTGTTGTACGGCTCTCTCTTTCCATCCTGCTCTCTCCAGGGCCGGTTTAGGGGCAGCCAATTACCCGGGGCATTGGTACTTTCTACCAAGAATAAAGACGGAAAATCGGATTATTACGAAAATAAAAGTACTTAACTTTGCGACGTGCTCTCTAATCAAGGAAGTAACGATCAAACAAACGCGCCCCCTCGATGGCGCATACGACTTAACGAAAAAATTCACCTGACCGATCGCTTTGTGTGCAAATACCGTAGATCACAATTATTGTGAGATAAGTCGCCTAGTTCGATGTTTCTTTGACGTCATAATACTATTTCTCCTACGATGGAAGTAACTCGTACAAAAGTTATTATTATGTTTGCCCTGAAGTTACTATAAAGAAAACCAAACAAAGAATTTACATTTTTAATTAACGTTCTATGTTTCACATGATAAACGTAATATTTTCTACGGTGATTTGAAATGATATTATCACGAAATTGTAAATTTCTTCTATTAATATTGCAGATAGAATCAAAAATAATACAAGATTTCTTTAAAGATCAATTACACGCGATAAAATAAAGAATATGACCATAAATAAGTTTCATTTTTGTTGGTATACCATATTAATGCTTTAATCACACGACTTTACTTAAAGAATTCCCTTATTGTAAAACACAATCTGTAATAAATCCAAAAATATAAACATTAAACATACATTGTCCTAAATGCTAATTAAAGTACAAAAGTAACAAGTAAAAACAGCAACAAATTATTTTCAAAGTAACTTTGAAGTCCTGATAAGAATTAGATTTTAAATCATATTTCACTCAACGCGTGATTCTATCGACTCGACTTTTATTTTCTTCCGAAATATAGTAAAAATATTCAAAGATAAATGAAAATATTGGGGACAATAACGTTTCACGTTGGAAAGGGCGCCAGACTGCGTTCAGCCGGACCTGCCCTTGCTCCATCTTGTTTCCGCTAAAATCGCGTCAAAGTCGTAGATTCATGACGTCGATGTAGTGCCTTTGACTTTACAAGACCCACTGTTCGTTTATTCTTTCGTGACGTACCGTCTTCTCATGGTTCACGACGGTCTACTCATACGGAATTACACTCTATTGGCGACAATACTAAACGTCCGTTTGTCGGTTAGGGTACGTCATCGAGGTTAGAGAAAGCGATTTCTGTCGGACTCGAAACGCTTCGTCCGAAAACGGAGCCAATTTCATGACTGTCTTGTACCGATAACGTTGTGAGAACGTTTCGAATGAGAAACGCCTATTGCGTGTTTTGTGCTGGTGATTTATAAGACACCTCCTACATCAGTGGTTGCTAAACTTTTTCAAATGCATCCTTTTTACCCTCTAAAGAAACAGAGAATTTTTGCGTACGATACTTACAGACAAACAATTTTTCTTTACATTTACGTTAATTAATTTTAAATTAAGATCGTCTTATTGATTTATATAAATTGTTTATTAAAGAATGTTGATAATAAGGAAAATCTATATACATATACATATACGGACAGTACAAGACCATAATATGTAAGCGATAGGTACAATGTAATTATAACATAAAATAAGGTAAAGGTAGATTCGCAAGACCTTAACACGTTAAATTAGTAAATAACTAACTAATAAGTGTGTATTTAATTATTCATGATATTTATCATGAAATATTCTAAGAATTGTTTGTTTGTCCTTAACGTATTCGTCATTCTTTGTTATTAAAATTTAGATTGTTGTACCGAATGTAATATTTGTATCACGTGCTGCATATTATTAAATAAACCCACAAATAATTATTTACTACGTTTTTGTGAAAAGTTCCAACTCATTTAAATACTCGATATATTCCGTGTAATTCACCGTATATAAGATAACAATAATAATCATTGCAGATATATTACCTTAAAATCAATTTCATGTATTAAAAATGAAATTATAATAGAAATGTAAAGTGTTCATGATATATTTATGACAATGATAAGAAACCACATAAGAAATTAATTAAATATTTAAAATGTTTTTTAGATAACCTCTGAATATTGAAGAAGGCCTGTCTACGTATAATAATCGAAAACGTTTTATTTTATATCCTTGTATCGACTAATTAAGTGCATTAAAACAAACATAGGAACTGTGTATCTAAAACGATAATTTACTACTTGTCACCTAACCTTCTATCTTCGTTCGACACTGAACCATTTACCATACATAATTTATTTCTCTAAAGGTTATAATATAGCCAGAGCAAGACTCATGGTGGGATAGGGTTATAAATGATTTCAAATATTTAATTTTGATAACAATGCTGTGCTCGTTGAAATCGGTTGTACTTATCACATCTTGCACATACTCATCACATTCGAATAATAATCAAAGAAAGCAGTTCGTACATATACTCTTTGTTACTAAAATACTAACAAAAGAATATAAATACGACAGGGATTAATGTTTGCTACATACGTTGCTGTATTCCGTATTATAATCCATCAAATATCTTGAAATTCGAGCAAATTAGATAGATGTGTGTATGTGTCTCAGTATATTATAAAATACTTGCAATTAATTTGTACAATGTTTAAACTGATCAATGTGTAGGCCCTGGTAAGCTAATGGAGGAGTCGTAAGTGTCGTAAGAAGACACATTCGAGTGACACACAACGTCATCTACCGGAAGCAAATACGAATGACTTTCAGTTACCAACAGTAAACACAAACAACAATTTTGTATCGAACAAACATAGTTGTTTATTTCAGCCTCCTGAATCCCTCAAATGCGTGTAATTGTTATCCTTCATTATCAGTTTTCACGTGGCAGTGGCAGTTAACCTTTTTTATAATTATTTTAATTTCAACCGGACGTATATACCTTCAAAGCATAAAAGTTATCGAATTTTCAATTATAATAACTTTACTTATACATCGAAACATGTCTGCATTTACCGAAAAATATTCAGGAATCATGGATGAATCAGACGAACCATCTATTTTATCAGCCGATCCAAACGAACGAAAATTAGCACGTAAACTTCGTATTCAAAGACGTTTAGATGCACTGTCTAAGTAAGAATTACACAAGATGTTCAATTTTTAACTTGTGATAATAGAAATTTAACGAATATACGTTCTTTTCAACGAGAACAAAATTATTTAAATTAATATATTTATACATTTGCACATGCGGTTAATCATATATCGTATAATTTCTTGTAATTGCTAATTTCTATTCTTCTTTAACGAAGAAATTCTTAATAGCGATAGATTTGTCAATTTTTGTATTGTTAGAATTTAAAGTTCGACTTTTCAGATTTATTCCTATTTTGCTTTCGATTTATTTTTCCAGTTAGAAAAATTCTTTTTGTTTTGATATTATATAATTAGCTATAAAATTAAAAGTAAAGTAATTCTCTATGTAAAAGACATTTATATATTTATTTTCAGACAGTCAAAACCCGAGGATGAGAGAATTGAGGATATAACACCTATCGAGAAGCAAGTGCTTGATAGCATAAATGCTCTGGAAGAATTGGCTGCAGAAGGAACCGAAGTGGTACGCGTATATGAATACCTTAAATCAATTTGTAGCTAACTGTTAAATCCGTTTAAGTAATTATTTGTTTATTGAATAAAATAACACGTTACTAGTCAGAACATTCATGTTTGTAATTACATATGTATAACATTTTAAATATTAAACAAATGTACGTAGATTGTTTTTAGTAGTTTTTGAAAAAAAAGGAGAACAAAACGGTCTCCTAAATAGTAGGCAGAATAAATGTCTTAAATAATATAAGGTAAATTGAAAGTACAATACCTATAGAAGAAAGAGTAGAGGGGGGGGGGAGGAGAAGGAGGAGGAGGTTGTAATTAAAAATATTGATATACAAAAGTGTGAAAAATGTGAACGATTGAACTTATTATTGATAATTTAAGTAATATATAATATAAATGATAAATTAGATAATATATAATATCCATGATAAATAAGATATTTATTACTGATACTTTAAATAATAATGAATTTTTGATAGGTTTCGGCGGTAAAAGTGGCAAACGATGCAAGGGAACTTGAGAGACGAAAGGTAATGCAAGAGACGAGGGATAGATTATTGGCGGCACTCGAGGAAGAAGACAAAAAGTGTATGGAAAAGTACCTTGAGATTAGCCAAAAGTGGCCTGATATTCTTGCCTGTAAAGACCCGTTAGATATTCATGATGAATTAGAAGCTCAAAATGCCAGGTGTCTCGAAATCCTAGATAAAAAGGATGCCCTAATCGCGGAACTGAAGCAAGAATTAGAGAATGCCGATGCGATGTATGCCGAAGAAGTGAAGAAACAGAACGAGGATATTGACGTGCTTGTCGAAAGAATGGAAAACCAAGTTAGTTCATTTAAAAGCATGTTTCGTTTTACATTACATTTTTTTTTTTAAATAAATAAAAACCCATGATATCGATTTACACGGTATGTCGAGAACCTTCCTTGATAAAATAACACCAGTGAGCCCAGTTAATCACTTTATATCGAGGGATTGCTATATTTACAATTAGATGAGTCAAATTTAATTATATATTCCCAACTTAATTTCATACTTGACGATAAATATTTCCTGCAGGTGCACACGATGACCAAAGCGTATCGCCACGAGTTGATGATGGTCGAAAATGTCATCGAATCGGAACGCAAGATGCTTCTAAAAACTTCCCAGGATAAATGGGAGACACTGTTGGCGAAGTATAAAGAAGACACCGTTGAAGCGAGAGAAAAAAAGAAAGAAATAATGCTCGAATACGAGGAAGAAATGAAGAAAGCGATTACAGAACACCAGGAAGAGTTTAGGCGACTGAAGATCAATTTTGAATTGGAGATACAGCAACTTCAACAAGAGGTGCAAAATATGAAAGCTTTGTGTTTGATGAACGTCGAGAAATTGGATTACAATTACGCCGTGCTAAAGTGTCGAGAAGAAGAAAATATTATTGTTAAGAATCAACAGAAGAGAAGAATAAACAAGTTAGTATCAGTATTGAAACACTCATATCAATCATTTGAATATTATCGACACTTTTAAAATTCATTTATTATATACCATTCATATGATTTTTATATAAAAATAAATTATAAATATACTCAAATTTGTTAAAAAATAAACCATAACTTCGACTTCTCACAGGTTCTCATCATAAACAAATATTAACGAGTTGATCAACTTAATTGCATTCTCGTATTTCAGACTTCAGGATACTATGAATAGTTTAAAAAAGACATATACAGATTTGGAGGAATCCACAAGATTGGAAATTCAAAAGCTGACAAACGAAATTTTAAAATCGCAAAAAGCTATACTAGATCTGGAGGAAAAGTCTAATCATCTAGCAAGTGTCAATGACAGAAAGTATATGCAAATTTGGGATATGAATATTGACACTGCCAATGAATTAGTCGATAAGGTACAGTGAGCATGAGCTAAAAATAAAAACGGTTGCACGAATTGCTATTTTAAACAAGTGTTTCTTAGATTTTAACAGCAGACAGAATTATACATGAACAGTTGTTAGGGGTGGAATGGAAACCACCGACACAAAAGTTACTGAAAAAAGAAGACTTGCCGTCGTATTGTGGTGCTATGTGTGCTTTAAAACAAGGTACAATTTTTGTTGTGGGTTTATGTTTGCAAGTAAACTAGTATAATCATAATCAATGAATTTTCTGTCCATATTTTCAGAAAAAGAGGAAACAAGGAAGAAGAAACTAATGTCCAAGTTGTATGAACCAGCAACAACTTTGGAAGAGATCAATTTGGAACGACGTTTGTTGAATCACATTGCTAAACTAGTTTCCAATCAATGTGATTACCTCATAGAGGACACTTTGAAGGAACTACTTTCTGACTACACAGAAAATGACAAATTACTAATTCGACTGGATAAAATATTTGAGGTAATTTTTCTTAAATTAGCAATGAAGCTACTAAACTATTATAATATAGTATATAGCTATTATACATAAGTTTAATAGTTCGTTTAATTTAAATAAAGAAATATATAGAATAAGTATAGTCCATATATTTAGTAGATGTTTCATCCTGTATCTGAATTCCCCTTCAATGAAAAACTTTTTATTTTAATTATATAAAAATATAAAAGTAAAAAAATATCGTTATAACCTGTAATTATAATTAAATAAGATATCAAGTTATCGTGAAAGTTTTCAATTTAGGCTGAACGTCGTTCAAATAAGAACGTCTCTAATACGTACTGCTCTTAAAGCTGAAACGAAGAAGTCCACATTATAATCCATCACAAGTTGAATACAAATAATGGTATTTTCAGGCATTAAAAATTACATCAGAACAAGACCTTCAATTTTTGTTAAACTTCTTCTTACCGTATGCACATTGTCCTACGTGTGAGATCAAAACTGTGAGCGTACCGAGCGTTTGTGGACAATCTGATAAAACTACAGAAACTTCTTCGTCTATGTACGTAAAAAGCTTCGTAATCAAATGTAACTTACAATAAAACGATGATTAGTAGTCAAATGAACACTCCGCCTAAGCGTCATCTAGCACCACTGAAAAAATCGATATCGAATATTTTTCGATCTAATATCGATATAAGATCGAAAACATTCGTATAATTTATACTTTTGTCGAATAATAAAATATAATGTTTTTATCGTTTTTATTTTTCACAAAGATTTTTTTTATAAAATGCCATGTAAAATTATTATCTAATTAATGGAATTTAGTATTCCTATTTTAAGATTATAAACATGAAATACCAAACTGTAGGACCACATTACTCTCCGTCTGCGGAAATGATAAAACTGATCTAGAAGAAGCTAAGTTAGTCACAGCTGTACAAGAAGCACTTTGTTCCACAAAATTTCTTGACAAGGAGGACACAGTGGTTGTAAGTAGTACACCGGAAGTTTCTTTAACAAAAACACCATCCGAGGATGTCCATGTTGCATCAACCTGTATTGGTGAAGGCATCATTGAAACTGCCAATGGTATAAATTAAAAGCCAGTTTAATCTTTTTTTTTCTTATATCGTTTACCAACTTTGGCATACATTTCTTAAACTCAAATGTACAATGTTTTTGTCTTCTCTTTGCAGAAGATGGTAAATCAAAGCGGCTATTAGTATGCGATAAAGGTCATTTGCTTGTGATTGAAACCGAATTTGTGACCAATGCCTTAAGAGAATTTGTAGAGAGATACGAATTTATTAAGAAGGAAGAAAATACTATACATATTGCTAAAAAGGTTCTTCAGGTAAAGGCCACAGTATCACGAAATATAACTGAGGAAGATATAACTGAATTTTGGCATAGATATAAAAATATCTTTCCACCAGAGAAAGAAAGTCTCTGGGATAACTTGCTGATTGGTCTTAAAAAGTATTATGAAGTATTAAAAGAGAGGCATAAGTTAAATGCTGAAACAGAATCTTTGCGAAAACAAAATGCAGAACTTAGTCACTTATTGAAAAGTTATTCAGCAGAGGTAACACTAGGCAACATAAAATAACTTATTAAACACTTCCAACTATACTACACATAATTAATTTTTAGCCCACAACTATGAAGTTAACAGAAAAAGATACAAATCTTCTTCAACATATATTTCAAGATTAAAGAAGATAAACAGTATGGTGTATCATTTGTATCATTATATATTTCTTAATTGTTATCTGGATGGACATATGTATATACATTTATACAATATATGAGACCGTTTTGTGCTATTTTATTTATAATAAAGACTAGAGGAAGGATCAACTACCTCGTAAATACTTTGAATAAAAATTATGTTAGTACCAATTTTTGTTTCATTCAGTTCCTTTCAAATATATACTCGCAATATATAATAAAGAAATAGTGTGGTGAGAGTGATACAAAATTCAGAATACTATAAACTATGAATGATCACGAATGAAATTACAAACAACATAGTATATATGGCGTACTCTTATGCATAGTTAAATATTTAGTCTTGAAATGCAAAAATGATTCAATCAAGTGATACAATACTGAAATTGATTTCCTTACTTTCTTTAAAAAATAAAACATGTACATCTGAGTAATTTGTGTATATATTAAAATAGACATTGATTTTGTTACAACTTTTTTTTATGTCTGATTTGTGAAACCTCCAGATACAAAATTGTTTGATAGTGATTGTACAAGGATTTTTGAGTTGACATCAGTTTTAGGTTTTTTCCAATATGGAAAGAACCTTTTCTTTTTTTGAATTTTTGCTTGCTTCAATTTACTAGTATGTTTCTTTGATGTTATATGCTGTAATGTAATGTAAATTATATTACCAAACAATTACCACGTATTTACTTCTATTTTTTTAACAATAAATGTAACATACCACATTATATTGTGCTGGGGAATTGAAGATCTTGTTGCACATGTTGCATGAAAGCGATACACCCTTAGATGTAGAGTTCTCCTGGACATTCATGGGAGTTGACGTCATTGAACTGCCAACTTCTTTGCCACCCCACCCACCTAAGCATCAATGTGCGATCAACACTATCTATGTATCACAACCGCAGAAGCGGTCAAATGTGATAATAAATCAGCTTGAACACTACATTCATGCTATGGAAAAAGCAACCATTAATGTAAACAGTTGTAACAAAAGCCGTAATTAAAAAATTGTACATGTGTACGTGTATGCATTCATCTACAAGCATTTCTTACTTCTTAAAATAAATATCAAAAAATGTTTTTTACACATATATAAGATATAAGAACCATTTAAGAGTACTTCTGAATAAATATCTTTTTTTTAATTTTTATTTGTGTATCTTACATATTTAAATACTGCATTTTTCTGAATATAGCGTAATACAGGTTTACATTTTAGTTTCAGTATATGCGAATTAAAACCAGTGTTCCATCATTAATTCAAATTTTCGAAAAATTATATCATTTAAGTTTTAACTTTAAGAATGTGTTAATTATTATTTAATTTGTAAGTATTCCTGAAACAGCTATTAATATGTAATGTAAATTGTATTTTTGTATTATTTTAATTTTTAGTATAATTTATAATATAACCACAAAAAAAAAAGTAAACACATATTGGTTATGACACTCACATATTAGTGCTCTTAAAAAATTTACTTTATCTTGATTTATATTAAACAATGAAAACACAATATTAAAAATGTATAATAAACTTACATTGCAAAATAAAAATGTGATTAAGAAAATAATTTCGCCATATAAAAATTATAAGTTGTTGTTCATTACATAAAGCATAAACAATGAAGCGTAGCGCATACTCATTCATTCGATAAAAGGAAGTTGCGGTATATGTAAAATTAAATAATAAAAGGAATCTGACAAACAGGAAGAATTAAACTATTTTATGAACAATATGAATTTTATTAATCATAATATGTAACTAAATAACTCGCTATTGAGTTCTCAATGGCACTATGTTCTTAAACAAATAAGTAGTAAATATACAATTTCAGTCTGACAGAAATAAATAATAAATAATATGCAATAAATAATAATAAATAATAAACAGTGTATAATAATAAATAGTAAACAATGACGCATAATTTATGACAAGCATGAAAATATCACTAGGCATTCCAGTAGCAATTGCTAGATTAAAGCTATTTAAACATCGAACAGTTAATTTTATATTAGTTTAGAGAAATAGGTGAAAAGCAAAAGTTAACAGTACTATTAAACATGCAAATGTAAACAATATTAGGCAGTAGATTAGCACAACAATATTTCTTTCTATTATTTTATCCATGCACATAGTGCGACTACATCTAAACCCATATTGTACTGATTTACGTACAACACAGGATTTATTACCTCTCATGGCTTTCTTTTTATGCCGGGTTCCTATAAGAAAGAATGTCTTTAAATTTGTAAAAACACAAAGAATTACAAAATACTTTTATTTATAAAATACCATTTAAATGTGTCTGAAGCTGTTGTATAGAATTTAGACACACATTACACACATTGCATTTCAGTCCATTTGTTTCTTCATCTTTTGTAAATGCTATTTTTGTTTCTTCAAGTGATGCCATTATGTTTTTGGATCTAATCTATAAAATGAGCATACTTCTCTGTATTTCTAACTTATTACATTCTTTTCTTTTCTAACCAACAATTAAAATGAATGGTATATAAAGTATGTTATTTACTAGTGATATGATTATATATCCAGACTACTTTATTCCATGAGCAAAATAATATTTCCAATAAATTAAATAATGAGTTCTAGGTTTAATACTTTAAAATAAAAGAGTAACAACAAAAATTAATTGGTGTTTTGTCTAGACATTCTTTGTCTGCTTCAGAAGTTACCAACGTTTCTTTTACTACACATTTATTATTTCATATTTCAATTTTTCTAAATCCAATTGTGTTTTGTTTTCACAAACCTGTTTTGCATGACGAGCACCTTGTAAATGTGTATCTAATACTGTTTGACTTGTAAATGAGAGATCACAATCGTTGCAACGAACAAAAGGTTTCTTTGTAGGTAAATTACCCATTATATTATCTACTACCGCTTTGGTCACAGGATCATCGAGACTTTGACTCATTACATCTTCCGAAGATACAGCCATTATTTTAACTAAAATTTAATACACAAGTAAATCTATATAATACACATCTAATACTTGTGAAATAAATAAATGTCGTTTAAACTATATTCCACAAAAAATGAAATAATTAGAAAATAAATGAATACATTGATAATATATTTATAAAATGTACAAATTAATTTCAATTAGAAATCATTGTTCGATTTTAACAAAATACACATAATTTTGCAAACTGTTTATTTGTAATAGTGTTGTGAATATACCTACTTATATAGGATATCGAATATGATTCCGATAAAACTTAACACTGTTCAGCTTGTGTAGTAAGCTCTAATTTTTCAATAAAATAATGAAGATATTTAGCAGACAATTGTGTTTATAATGAAATAGATCTTTCCTTCGGTACGTCGGACATGGAAGTCTTCGAGTTGGATGCCTGATTTTTTAGGAATATTAATCCGAGGCGTTAGAGTTCAAAATTACATTTGATAGGCTAATAAACCTCGAGAGTTCCTAGCGTGTCGTCATTTAAGGTGTGTTTAATAATTGTATGTATCGCGTCTTGAAATACTGCGCTCAATTTGTAACGAATTTGAAATTGCTATCAACATGTTATTAACAAACGTACTTTACAAGTTTGTACTAACTAAGCACTGGAGAAACTACGAGAAAAGTACGTGTAAATAATATTATACATTAATAATTCTAGTAATAAATATCATGTATTTTACTAAAATTATTTAGCTTTCCATGCGAACTTTTACATGCCACATTTTTAATTATGCATCTGAAATTTGTACGAGACACGTGCAAATTTATATTTGAGAAAGAAACCTGAAAATAACGAGCAATTCGAGTCAGTAGCGTAACTAAAGATGTGCATTATGTTCGAAACACGTGGATTTTCGATTATAATTAGCCGAAAATATATTCTGTACGAGTATTTTGCATCGTCGTCAAAAAGAAATATTGTCTCAAATTTTATTGAACAATACAATAGATTAAATTATTTCCGTAAATTGAGCGGACGACAAAGACTTATTTCAAATTAGTTTACTTTTACAGATCTCTAATATGGAATCCAGTGCCTCGTGGCCCTGTTGTCCCTGCCTTGTCACAGCTCTGCTCAAACGTGAAATATCTAATTGTCTTACTAGAAATATTTTATACAAGATTTTTGTTTAATATAGTAAATATGGATGTACTAGGTTTATTTATCAGTTTTCTTTGAAAATTAAAGAAATAATAACACTTAAAATGAAATCTAAAATGAATAATACTGAAATCATCTCCATCGTAAATGTTAGCACGCAGGACCCCCTCCGTATTGCTAGTTACGCCACTGTTCAAAGTTTTCTTTTTTTACGGAGTACTTTAACAGATATCCACCGAGTTGCTAGGAAAAATCCGATTATATCACGAGGAACTTGGATATTATTCGGTATTGAGAAATTTTGTTCTATAAAATCTGCATAAAATCAAACAGGTGAATAAAGCTTAGCGCGGGATCGATCCAATCAGCGGTTTTCGAAGTCGCGATATGTCAGTCGTAGCAGAGATATAATATTGGCGGCTTAAGAAGGGCAGCCAATTAGAAAAGTTGGTGAATATCGTCGGTCGGTACTTAGGCGCGTGTGTTTGTCGAGTGCATATAGGTGACGGTCGCGAAATATAGTCGCAGCCATCTTATATTTTGTGTCGGAGAAAAACAATTTGGCCGTACAAATGTTTCGCGATTGTCCGTGAAGCCGCTCGAGAACGGGAGGCGTGCGCTCGATGAGGCGTGACGTTTTTCGACCCTAGCCCAAGACTACTACATTAGCAAAGGTTCGTAGAACGATGCTTTCAATTTCGACCGCAACGAAAGCGACCCCCACTCGCAAAGTGCTCGCGAAGAATCCGGTTTCGCAGTCAAAATATTCCGCCGTTTCGACTGTCGCTTTTTTAAAAATAGAGTTGCCCGTGTTGCTCGCTGCTGGGCTACGTTCTGTTGACGACGGTATCGCGCCGTCTTCGAGCGCATCGCGTAAAAGTTATGCAATCAGCTGATCATCCAGCTACCTTCTGTCACTTGTCAAAGATAAATGTCAAAACGATTGATCTAACCTGACAACGCTTAACGTTCGTAGTTTGAGTATTCCACGAACCGGAAATTACGAGGCTATCCACGTTTACGCAACTTTTTGCGTTTGCGACTGAGCAACTCGAATGGCGATTTATAGAGGTTCCCTGTCACACAGGTGGATTGGTACGCGGGATATGAGCAGCTTGTCAAGCGCAACCTGACTCTGCTCCCCCATCAAGAAGCAGCGCAGCAGCAGGAGCCACAATCGCAACAGCTGGCTCAGCCGCAGCAGACCGACATAATGACATCCATGTTCGAACAACAAATCAAAAGCGAGCCTATGGGCTTCTATTCTGTTGCTTCGAGTCGTTCGGATGGTTCCAATTCCATGGTGAATTTATCCGATGACAGAGAGGACCTTTCTCAGCAGGAAGGTCATCTGCAGCCACAGCAACAAACGTCGCTACAAATAAGCCAGCAACAGGGTCAGCAACAAACTCAGCAAAGTCAACAGGCACAGCAGGGACAACAAAGTCAAAGTGTGCAACAGGAGACTCCGAGCCGTCAGTCAACGGGACAACAAACTGTTAAAGAGGGTTCAAGGTCGAGACCACAGCCCTGCAAAGTATGCGGCAAGGTGCTATCTTCCGCTTCATCGTATTATGTACATATGAAACTTCACTCGGGCAACAAACCATATCATTGTACAGTATGCGAAGCCAGTTTTTGCCGTAAACCATATTTAGAAGTGCACATGAGGACGCATACAGGAGAACGACCCTTCCAATGCGAGCTGTGTTTGAAAAGGTTTACGCAGAAGAGTAGTCTCAATACTCACAAGCGGGTGCACACTGGAGAAAGACCGTACGCCTGCGATATATGTCAAAAACGTTTTGCAGTAAAGAGCTACGTGACGGCACACCGTTGGAGTCACGTCGCCGAAAAGCCTTTGGTGTGCGACAGATGTTCTCTTACGTTCACGTCCAAGAGTCAGTTTGCAATTCACATTCGTACCCATACTGCAAGTACAACGTACGAGTGCAACATCTGTGGACGTACGTTTGTACGTGATAGTTATCTCATACGACATCAAAATCGAGTACACCGTGATATGAATCAAAGCAATACAAATCACAATCCACCGACACCGCAGAGTACTGGTGGTGGTACGCCGGGCACAGGTTTCGAGAGCCCTGTTTGTGATCTACGCTACAGTGAAGGACCGTCTTCGTTGGATGGTTTGGCAGGTTCCAAAGGAGGCATCGCAGCAGAGATTGCAAGTCTAGCGAAGCAAAACAATCTTCAACTTCCTCTACCGCTGCTACATCCGCAGACCACCAACTAGTGTTTAGATGGCAGTATGTCTGAGTCCTTACCGCAACACCAGTCACCGCAGCAAGTAGTATGTCCCACCTCGGCGTCTTCGCCATTCACACTTAATTCACCTGTGTCTCACGAGCACACACCATCGCAGAGTGTCTACCAAACGACGGGCTCTTCCAGTTCCTTGGATAGCCTCAACTCCCAACTCTACCCGCAAATGTCATCCCCTATAGAATCATCAGAGTCGCATCATCATTCGCATCAACTGCATCGCGGCATTCCTCCACCAGGGCTTCACCCTGCACTATATTTGTACGCTCAGTACTCGAATACGAGCCCTACGATCTCGTACACCGAATATATTCAACGCAACAATTGATAATGCCAGTTTATGCCAGCAATGACGATTTTTACCACGAACGTAGCGACGTCAGCGTTCTAACGCGGGCTCTTCGATCGCGTGTCATATTTAATGGTGCTGGTTGAACAAAGTGCCTAAAGAGCATCCGCTTTCTGGATCGCGATGGATGCTTAACCCCAATCGTGGATTGATAATACTAAACAATTTTTACGCACCGATCTTGTTTCAATTTTTTAGAAAGGAACAGAAGAGAATGGCAAATCAATTGTACATTGATTGCCATTTTGCACGTATTCGGTCACCCCTCGGTCCATATAATGGATCGCTACGTTGACGAGCGTATATTTTAACGAGAATTAAACAGGGATGGGCAAAATTCTTATCTGGATGAAAAGTTCGAATAACGAATAAAAGATGAAACACATTTTTATTCGTTACTCGTTTAATCAAAATTAGTATTTAAATTGTAGCATGGAAGTATTTCACGTTGGATAGATAAAGATTTACGCTATTCAATCGAATAATTTTATTCCAATAAAATTTTGCCTATTTCTGAAATTAAATAGCACCGTTCGAAGGGACGTACTCGAGCAGCGATCGATGATTCGCCTCGATCGCTGAATTTTCCTCGTTTTATCGATCTTCGTCGTGGTACATCGATGTTAGCATAAACTATCCCGAATAACGTTTCTACACGAGTTTTCCAAGTTTCCGCACTTCTTGATTTACCTCTTTTTCAATCACATTGCGAGTACATATACATATATATATATATATATCTATGTGTGTATATATATTATGCGCGAACCATTATACGCATAACATATTTATATTATATTTTTAAAGGAGTTTAGTCACTTGGATCTGTGATATAGATAGTAATTATTATCTACAACGTTTAAACTATTGGTTTACTATTTTGATGATATCAAAACGAGGAAAAATAAGAAAGCAATGTCACGGAGCGTATGTAGCTGTCAGAATTTAACGGACATTGGTCTCTACCGAAGGTGTTTGGTAGACACCCTACTATTACTTTTACAAACAAAACAAAAATAAGAATATTACTATTACTAACGCTGCTACTACTATTATTACTACAACACTAGTACTACTCTTACTAATACTCTCACTAACATTACCATCACCACAACCACCACCACTGACATTCTCCCAACTATATATTATTCTCGCTATTATTATTATCATTATTGCTACTACTATAACTACTATTATTATTAGAAAAAAACGCAAACGTTGCTTCATTTTAGTAACGTCCATAGCGCGTGTATTGGGTAGGACCCGTGACGTAGTCACCATGGCTTTTTTTTCAGCTTTGATCTTAAGTTTGTTCTCTTGTCATTTTCCTTCTCTCACGTTTCATCTACTTCTTTCTTTCCTCATTCTTCACCTTGCTTCAGTTCTTTCCCTACCCTTCGAGCCAGTGGCGCAACTACCAATTCTGGGATACTTTTAGGGGAAAGTTAACTCTATCTTTTGAATATTATATAATATTAGAAAATGGTAGAGGTATTTTTAATCGCGAAAGACGAACAACCAGTGAAATTCGTAAAACATTATTTTACACAATTTTACGGAACAAAACTTATATTTACCAACAACAACAACAACAAAAAAAAAAAAAATGTGTGGAATTAAAAAAAAATAATCAAAAATGATTTGATATATTTGTTTTGTAGCTCTCGAAATAAAAGATTTCTCGTGGGAAAATTATGGGGCTTTTCCGTACTCGCTACTTATTACAGAGTCTGTAATTACGAAACGTATACGATTAAAAAAACAATTAGAAATTAATCGATATACATATTTGCTTTTCGTTCGTATCGAAATCGGGACTCTTATTGTGCAGCCTTAGTTACGCCACTGCTTCGTACTAATTCTTCGTAGCTCACCGCGTACGTATGTATGTATGTTACATGAACGATAGAAACGTTACGGTGTCGGTGTTCTTTTATCGCGTAGGACAATTACACGGCTTTGAATCAGTTCCATGGGTGTACTTACTTTTCACATATCGAAGTGTATTGTACACACAGATACATATTGTATATACGTATACATATATATACGGATGTATTATAAAAAAAAAAAAAAAAACGACGAGCGAATGTGCAGATCGTGTTAGTTCTAAGTACTAGGAGTGTAATAGCAGGGCTGTTGATCTTTTCCTTTTTTTTTTCCTTTTTTTTTTAACTACCGTTAGAGCTTAGTTTTAGCGATTATTATTATTATTATTATTATTAACGTTCTGATTAATACGATTATCACGATTATTGTTAATCTTTTATCACTAACTCCACGAAGCTTAGATACAAGCGAGGGAACCATGACAGCCGCGAAAAAGCTTTCGTTTCCTTCGGAAATTTTTGCGTACGATCCAGCGCGGTGTCTGTTCGTTTTCGACGATAAAACGAAAATAGAAGATCGATCGCGCGCGCGTTAATAACGAATCAAAACGCGACGGACGAACGTAGCGCGTGCGCGCTTCGAGTGTTTTCGAATCAGCAGCGTAATAGAGATACGGCAAAATTCGTATACAATTAAAATAAAGAAGAAAAAAAAGAACAAATGAAAAAACGCAAACTTTTGCAATTTAAATTAAACGAAACGAAAATGTAACCGTTCGATCGAATTTAATGTTTTTTCTTCTCATCTGTTATTCGAGTAAAATTCTGCCCATCTCCGACGGCGGGTAAAGCGGGTTCACGGTTCGATTCGAATAGAAACAGAACAAAAACAAGAAAAAAAAACAAAACACAAAACCAAGAAAAAAGAGAAAATATATTCGCGCTAGCGTGCCTCGAACTTCCTTATATCGTAGAGATCTGTTCCGACGGTCTTTTAGTCTTCGCAGAGAACAAAAGAAAAAAGAAAAAAAAATATATATATATATATTATATATATATATATATATATATATAAAATAAAACGACGAACAATTCTCTGCGCGCGTATGCCTGAGGCTTTTGATTTAAACGAGACGCGAAGTCACCGGGCCAAGACTGATTTACTCGCAAAGGATTGCGACACACAGAAAGAGGGGAAAACGATATTTGTTCTTTGTGTCATTTGTTGATGTTTTTGTTCGTATTCGGTTACGCGTGGAACGTATTGTTGCTTGCATCCGTGAGGTGGAGAGGAATAAAAGAAAAAGAAAAAAAGAAAATATTCCACGATCGTATCTTTCGCGCGTGAAATGAAAAAGGCACGTTTCCCGTGTTTCGTTCGGATAACTTAGGTGCAATGAGAACAAGAAAAGCGACGTTCTTCATGCTGGCTAGTCATTGTACAGCTCTATGAAATATTAATTGTACTACAATGCTGTGATTTAAAGCCTCCGTGCATATGTTCGCGCAGCTCCTAATTACATAACGATATACATATTTTGTAGCTTGTTATGATTGTAAATACAATAGGTAGCTCGTAGGAATACCTAAGAAGAAAACAAAACAATTGTAGTTCCGAATTGATCGGTCGATCCTTCGTTACGATCTCTTTACTTCTTTTCTCTCTGTCCGACTTTTGTTTTTAATTCTTTATACTCTCTAGTTCTCTCGTCCCATCTTTTCGCTTTCTAATAAACCCCCTACTCCTCTCTTTAATACTTATTTCTGCGTTTCCTCGATACATATGCGCTTTCACGGTGCTGGGCAAGCAAATTCTTTCCATCCGTGAAAATAAAAGAGACCCTTTCTACTAAGAAACAAAAAAATATTGTTCCGAGCACTTCTTTGTTATATACGTTGTTATTCTATCGATTGAAATAGAAGTATTCGAGTTGTTTGCTCTCTTTAGGATAACTTTTACTCCAGATTAATAATGGGTTGTCCGGAAAATTTGCGCCGACTGTTAATCACTTATAATCTGAATTGTTTTTCTGTTCTGGAATGGAACAGGTCGTGGATAGTCGTCGATAACGAGATGTAAATTGAAATTTTTAATAAACATAGCCTCCCGAACGTGGTAGAAATATTCATCCTGGACTGGTAAACATTGTGTTCGATAACTTTTGTAAACGTATTCTTTGGTTACCATACAAGTATTTTGATACGACAATAGTAGTAAAAAGATGATAAAAGGTTGTATTTTATTTATTTATTTTGTAATATACGTTTAGAGTCGCAACAATTACTAATGGTTATTAGCGACTTAAGTTCGGTTAACGTCGAATCTTGTTAAATAAATTGATGTGTTTCAGAAAAGTAATCACTTTCCTGGCGATGTTAATCATTTTTTAATTGTTGGTTTTTTTCACCATTATTTTTTACACCGTTATTTATTATCGATAGTACTCGTACGATGATATATCGAGAAGTGGAAAAATGAAAATTTTCAGTGATGGTCACTTGTTTAATCATCACGCGATAATTAAAGATTAATTGTGGCGCGGATGACTTATGTCCTTATGTCGAAGGAGAAATCTATTGTTACTTCGAGGGATTATTGTAATTACGTACATGTTTGTTAAAAATGGATGGAAATCTATTCTTTTTAGTCGAATGTTTTTATTAATTTTATGTCATCTTTGAATAATTTGGCACGAACTCTCTGGACAACCCAATATTCTCTATGCTTTGTATAGATGAGCTAATTTTGTGAGCAAATATACAGTTGAGTATGTTTTTGCTCGTTTTTATTATTTAAAAGAATCAAGATATGGAATAACGGATTGGAAAAGAAATTTTCGTTATTTACATTAACGTATATCTTTTGTAAAATGGAATATCATGGATACGTTTAAACGCGGAAAATTATACGCAAAATAGTAAAATCGTGCGCAAAAGTATTCTCTCGCTGACGAATTGCACGAAGCAAATGATTTTTTGTCTGCTAGTTTATCTTGATCTATATTTTTTTCTGTGATAATCTCATGATCTTTCGTAGCTTTTAATTTTATGGCTAAACCAAAACTAAGAACTTTGCGATAAATACTTTCTTTTGTTATAGTATTTCGTTTTTATCAAAAGTTGTGATTTTCCGTCGATGTTTCTAGTTCTGCGTGATGTTGTTCTCATTTAATCGAATAATCGAATTTTGGGACTTGGAATTAATTCGGTATCTTTTAAAAAATATATATTAATTATTCGAGCAACGTGTTTTAAATTATTCCGCCCTTGGAAAATAAATAGTTTGCGTTACTTGAAATTAGAAATGATACGAAAGAGAGATATCTATGCGAACAAAAAATATCGATGGAACTCTCTGCAAAACGGCAGTTCCCTTTTCAGCTAATATAACACCACTATCTTATTAGAAAAATATTTTATTTTATTTTTGTACTGAACATCTCTATGCGTGCAGATGTGGGCAAAATTCTTATCTGAGCACAAATTTCAAATGACAGATGCGAGATAAACAATTGTTTATTCGTTATACGTCGAACGAAAATTAGAATTTATATTACTAAATGAAATATTTCACAGTGGACGAGTAACGATTTAACTGTTATCTATTATTCGAATACAATTTTACCTATTTCTGTACATATGTAATTCTTTCATCAGTAATGCGTTAACGTGTACATGCGATTTTAATATTATTATAAATACGCACGAGTGTCTCCTTTTTGGACCACGATTTTTCTTATTGAACTTTAGGAATTCGATACTTGTTACTCGTAACATACAAGTGAACACTTGTATCGGTAATTAGACGCGGTATGGGGGTTGATTTGACAGTAAACGAGCCAGACTTAAAAGAGAAAGAAAAACGTTCGTCTAATGAACGAACATACGATCCATTTATCGACGATAGAGACCATAATCGCGCGAAACAAGATTTTATCCGTGTCGATTTTCGTACGAAAATCGAGGAAACCTATTTCAAACAGTATTTTTCGAAGCATGGCACGGTTTAGGCTTTGTCCAGCACTGATACTTCGCAGCCACCGGATCAGTTTAACGATCTCAATCATTCTGACCGTAACGCTGCGGACGTATCTGAGAGTTCTCTTTTCTTTTTTTTTTTATCCATGGCATGTACATCGAATGTTCGGGTATTTTTCATAAGAAGAGAGGAAAGTGATAGGGTCCTTTCTTCGAAAGAGCACATGTCGGACCAATAGTAAAAAAATTAAAAAAAAAAGAAAAAAAAGAAACGGAAAGAAAATCGATAGCGAAAATGAAAAAAAAAAGAGGGAAAAATAGTAGAAATACGCGACTGGATGCAAGAGTCGTTCTGTTCGTCGGGGAAATCGTTGTCTTCTTTTTTTCTCTTTTTACCAGCGCCCTCTTTCCTTGTTTTACGCGTTTATAGTAGGGCTGGGACGACTAATCGAATGTTTAAATTCGAATATGAGTAATCGAATATCATGTCTCGAGTATCGTCACTCCTAATATGATTATACCAATAACTACTCGACTCGATTAAGGCAAGAAAAGAGTTCATTTAGAATTCGTCCCTCAAGAGTTTAAAAAAGAGTTTAAAAAAGAGCGATTCCAAGAATTTGACTTACAGTCCACTATTCAAGTACTAAAAATATCCAGATAATGGTCAAACATCCAAATAATCAACTATTCGAATCATTCGCCGAATATTTGACAAAAATTCGACAAATAGTCCTAGCCCTAGTTTATAGTTTATTGTTAGTATCCGAGAAACACGTTGTGCATGGATACTTGGTTAGACGTGAGCTAATACTCGAGAGCATGAAATTTTGTCCTTGAGGTTATCACGTAGTTATTTCCACCACTTACTGCAATTCGTACAAATTTTATTGATCATTCATGTCGCCTATGTGAATTATTACGTTTACACGTAAATAGTGATGATAATGCTAATCGTTACAATCGAAGCAAAAGAAATGATACAAAACGCGATAATGGTATTACTAGTAGTAAATGTATACGTTTTGGTGACAATTATCCAAGTAATAGTAATTAGTTTACAGTTTCGTTATAAAATACTCTGTTTTCCAAAGAATATTATTTCTAATTTTTTACTGTAATATGTAGTAAATGCTAAAATTGCATACTTTATGCATATTTCCACATTAATTTATTTATTATAATCGTAATGGTATAAAACCCAAGTATTGCTGTTATCTGGATAACTATCACTACATTACTCGTATATCTGGGTATACTAAGAGCTCTCGAGTATTAACACACCTCTATGCGTTATGTTTAACCGTTCGATCGTGGATGAGCAGCCCTTATTTGCTAAATACTTTCTAACTCGTTCAATACTCTTATCCGGTGGATTATAATGCTACTTTTTGAAAAAGCATTCGATTCTAGATACATATACAAATTCTCAATAAAATCCATATATAAAATGATCGCGTATTTCACATTTTATTCTGTCTTAATTTTGGCGCTGCTCAACAAAACGACGACTGCAGTCAAACGGTTAAGCCAGTGATTCTTAACCTCCGTGCCGTGAAGTTGGCAATACTGTGCCGTGAATGTTTGCCAAAAGATCAAATAAATTCTTATTTTTTACAATTTTCTTTTTTTTTTTAATTTTTCTTATAATCATTTACGATTAAAAACTGTACCAGGATCATTCCTTTGTAAACTGTGCCATGAGCGTGAAATTATTATTTTCCTCTAAAGCAACGATGGCAAACGGAGAGTCATTTTCCGTGCCAAAATTAGGAAAATCAGGCAACGTTCTCATAACGCCGTGCCAATATACTATTTTAATAAATTAGTTACCCGAATGAAACATAAAATATTCACATTTGCGATTTCAGTTTTCGTGTCTATCATCTGCACCATATAAATGCGTAAAACGCTTAACTATTACACGTAAACTTTCTTATGGGTATTAATCGCTTACTTGATTCTTTCATCAAAATTTTTGTTGATATCCGTTTATATGAAAAATACGTTGCGAATTGAAAATACGACGGTCACCTTTTCATTTACTGCAAAATACAGTCGTGAAAGTGTCTAGTCTAAACCAAATAAAGATATAAATTTAATAAAGTGCAAATTTACTATGAAAGTTCTGGAGTACCAGTAAAATTCTATCGCTTATCAAAATTCGTCTTTCGTTTGCCATTACTGTTTTCAACTGTGCCGTATGCTTGAGAAGGTTAAGAAACACTGGGTGCAAACGAAGGTAAACAAAGCACGAGTGTCTCGCGAGATGTCCTTGCGAAAGTCACTGGCCAAGCTTGTATATACGATAGTTAACGCGTAAGGGAATCGATCAAGATGTATATATACAGTGGGTGTAGAAAGTGTTCGTACACCGATCAATTTCCAAAAAAACCTGTGTAAAATTGTAACCTATTAACTTATTTTTTATAAACAATGACATTCTACATGTTCTAGGAAATTTCTAGAATAGATAGATTACAAAAAAAAAAATAGCTATTTATGTAAGTTGCGAAATTAAGAAGAAAAAAATAATTAATCGATAGAAATGTTGAAGCAATAAGTATTCGCACAACTGTTAAAAGTATTTCCCTGGAAATTTGATGTTTTCTAATCATGGTTTGAATAATAATCAATTACAATTTTTAATTAAATAATTGATTTAAACAAATTTAATTAAATCAACTTAATAAATATTTTGAATAAATGTAATTACAAATTATTTAATTAAAATTGAATTAAGCAGAGTTAATCGAAAGTCGTTTAATTGGCGATTGATATGAGCGAATTTAATCGAAGATATTTAATTGACGATTGATATGAGCAGAATTAATTAAAAGCCATTTTCTTGACGATTACTTTAAACAGAATTAATTGAAATCCATTCAATTGACGATTAATTTAAGCAGAATTAATTCAAAGGCATTTAATTCACGATTACTTTAAGCAGAATGAATTCAAGCTATTTAATTGACGATTTGTTTATATCTTCAATGTTAAGAGAGATTTATATAAAATTCAATTAATTATATAAGTAACACATATAAATAAACATATATATATATAAACCAATTTGTAGCGACAAATGCAATATATTAAATACTATTAACCTCATCAAAATGAGTTGCTTGTATATAGAATAATGTATTTGTTAAAGTAATATACTAAAAACATAAAGCAGTTCAGCTAATTTGGTATTACCGGCATAACCCTTTCTGTACGAGCGCCGGATATATCTGGCATCCATCTAATAAACTTATATGTGTTACTTATACAATTAATTAAATTTTATGTAAATCTCTTTTAACATTGAAGATATAAACAAATCGTCAATTAAATAGCTTGAATTAATTCTGCTTAAAGTAATCGTCAAGTAAATGGCTTTGAATTAATTCTGCTTAATTCAATTTTAATGAAATAATTTTTAATTAAATCGTTTGTAATTAATTGTCAATTAAAGACGGAAATTAATTTTAAAAGTAATTAATTGTTCCCAACCCTGTTTCTAATTCGCACGGAGCAATAAACTAATGTGTTTACGTTACAAACTCTGCTGTAAATGGTTCCTCATAAGAATCGTACCAATACTTATTGCTCCTATACTTTTACCCACTTTACGCATTTTTTTGTTAATTTCACAAATTATATCAACTAGTAAATGTTGTTTGGGCTATATCTATCTCAGAGACTTCCGAGAATATGTAAAATATCATTGATTATAAAAAAGGAAGTTAAGAAACTACAATTTCACACAAAAGTTTTTTGGGAAATTGATCGGTGTACTTTCTACACCCACTGTATATCATCAATATGTATATATTTTCGAAGCACGAAAAGTACCGTAGCGAGGTCACGTGGTACGTTTACCGCGTAAACCGGCAGCCATGTTCTCGAGTTTGTTGTTAGGGTTTTCTTGGTTGGGCATACTGACGACTTCAGATTAGTTCAGATTTCAGATTGCACGACAGTGTTCGGTCGAGGCGGTAAAGAACATCGGGTCCGTGTCCGAGTATTTTTGCATCCAGTGCAACAATGGAATTAGTTTCGAATTATGAGAGGTGAGCTAATGTTTCAATTGTCGATTAGTTAGACAAAATTGTAGCATGACCGTTATTTAAAACCGTTATTATATAACCGCTTATTTAAAACAAACTAGTAGAGGGTTAACTCGACTTTAGCGTAAATTGTTCAATTGAAATATTAATTAATTTATGAACGTACGAATAGATAAGATATAATTTCTCTTTCGAAAGATAAAATGAAATTCATACGATAAAGGCTTAACTCGCTTAAATAGTTTGATCGTCGAAAAGTCGTTAATGTGTCTTAGCACAAAGCTTGTCTTTTATCGAAAGTTTCTTCCCTTGACATCGATTTCTTAACTCCCTCTCGTAACTGGAAGGAATCGTAATCTCAACACAAAGTATTACTATTTTTTTCACGCTACATTATAGTTCTACAAATCCTTGTTTCTCGCTTTCGTCATTCTCCTTTTCCTTTCTGTTCGCCTTCTACTCCGCACGTACATCCGTCGCGATACCGATCATTTCGCCATTTTTTTTTTTTGCGGGTGTTTAACGTGATTTTTGTTCTGTCGAAACGTAACGAACAGCTGTGTCGGGACTATATGTATAGAATGTTCTTACGCGTGTTCTCTTTGTCTCTTCGTTTAGTAGTTACAGATGTTCGCGTCCATTAAAAAGCAAACGAAAACGGAAAGTGCCGACGTAAAGATCGTCATTTTTTTATGAGACAAGAGGGTGTAATTTAAAACAATAGCGCAATGACGCGTCCATAATGCGCCGTTTGTATACGAAAATCACAAATAATTGTTACTCGAACGAGAAATGAAAAAATTGCGTGGCTAATTGAGATAAGAATGGCTCCGAGAATAGCGATATTCCGTGCAATGTGATTATTTTGTATCGATCCACAATATTTTTTACATGACCGTTTCGAAAGTGATTATAATTTATAAATATATATACATATATATATGTATATATGTATATATGCATATATGTAATTGTTGGATATATTTTTCTTTGTATGCTTATTAAATTTACGTTTTCGTTTGACGATTTCATATGTATATATGTTATTGCGATAATAATAATAATTATTATTATTATTTCGTGCTCGTCCATGTCAGTATTATGTTTCTTCGGATAGGTGTCCCACGGTGGAGAGTACGGATATTAACAACGATGCTTGTACTTTACCCGATTCTCCGTTAATCTCGTTGCGAAATAAATTACGTTACATTATTCGATTCCTTCGTTTCTGGGAGTAGAATTTCTTTGAAAACAAATCGATTGGAAAACGTCCATATCTATACTCGTGAGAGAATGTCAAAAATCGTACGGTTGAGCCAAAACAACAAATCGATTTTTGAGAAGAAACTTTAGAATTCGAAATTTAAGAAATTGCGAAACTTTGGGACTGTTTCGTATCTTCATAAATATAGTAATTTTTGTGTTTAATGAAATTAGGATTGCTAATTTACTCGAAAGAGGAGTAGGTATGTAGTGATTCTTTTATGTGGTGATCTCGAGCCGAGGCTGAGCCTTGTATGCTCCGTCCGATAAGAAAAATAAGTGGGGATAACATACGAATGAGTGAGAGAGATAGAGCAATTGCAGGCAAGACGCTACATGCGCTCGGTGACCAAAACGTTAATGCGACATTTCACGCGTATTTCTGCATCAGTTATTACTATGAAATTAAATCTTTTTTTTATCTTTCGTTATATTTTTATTGGCGGAACTCTTGTCGGTTGAAATGAGTTTAAACATGACTTTATTCGGCTTATTTTTCATTGTTTGCCATTAAAATAACTTTCTATGCGTAGAATTAAAAGTAGCCCGAATAAAGTTATATTTCGGCTTATTTTCTTCGGAAAAGTTTCATCGATTAATTGACAATATGATCGTGAAGATGTAATGAAAAATATACGAACTTTTCCTTTTCGGCTGAGTAAATAAATATTATCCACTCTAAAGGGGTGGAATCAGTCTTCGAAGGTAACAAATGTCTAGAGACAAGTCTCTCGCTTCTTTTACTTCTTGTCATAGCTAGCTTGGTTTTAAAATATTAAGTACAAGAAATTTGTTACATTACAAAGAACGTATGATGGCGTAACTATCAGAGACAACTAGAAGATAATGCGACGGATGTATACAAAATATTGTCGAGTTTTAACAAACGTTACTGGATTTTCAAAATCATTTGGCTTTACTTTCGTACAAGCCCTCTCGTATCATCTATGCGCCAGCATACCATAGTAAGTAAAACCTCGTCAGTCCGGATTAATTCAGAAGGGAGATCGTCCGGATTAAGCGATAATCTAGATTAGCGAAGCAAAAGATAACCCTAAAAGATAAAAAAAAAAATTAGAACGCAGTCCACTCGCCGAGGATTAATTTCGCCGCTTTAGAATGAATTTTTATAATAAAGTAACACATTATTTATGAAGATGCTCGCTTTATATTAACAAAGTTTCACAATTCTCTTACGTTTTCGAGATCCTTAATTTACCCTTATTACAATCTTCAAACTTCGATCAATGTTAGATAGTTTGTGGATGTTTCTTCGACTAAATTCGTTACGAGAAATATATTTTAGCCATTATGTCCAGAGAAATTCTCACAATAATATGACCGAGTAATTCGAATCTCTGATAGTCCCCGCTTGTATGTCACCGAACGGGTCCACTTGTTTGCATACATTTAGCAAAGGTATCGATCTTTAAATGCATCGAGGAGTGATTTAATTAGATTAACATACGCGGGATTAGTCATCCGCTAATAAAAATTGTTATTTTTATATTTTTCAGTGTGTGTTTCGCAAGAGTACTATTAACGGGTTGGTCAAGTTTTCTTGGTGAAAATGAATTCAAACGTAACCTCATTTGGACGATTATTAATATCACGTCATTGAAATCATTTTTTTTTTAATACGTATAATTAAAAATAATCGGAATGATGTGGTGTTTGTGCTCGTTTTTGTCACAAAAATCTCACGAATCCATTGATGATGTTCCAACGAATATACATACATGTACATTGAGGGTCGTTTTAACAGCTTTGTAGACCTCTGGGCAAATCAGTGCACGGTTCGTTTAGATGTCGCAGACATAAAAAACATTTGACGGCCACGTCTAAACTGATATTTGTCATTTTCATAACTATATGTACTAGTTCCATAAAACGTTAAGACGGCGCTGGGTACATTGAAAAAATACAAATTTCAATTTTCGTCATCGAATGAAATTTTATCCTGCTTGGGTTCTTTTTATCGCTCTCGCAATTTGTTGTCCACGCATATTCGATTGAACTGATAATTATACTACACGCATCAATATTGTCCTAAAGACACAATGTCAATAGTGTCGCCTAATGGTAATTACAAAAAAATACCGAGTCGTAGTTTCGTTTCACGTTCGTCGACTCGGGTTGGAATTCAAAGAAATTTATCATCCGAAGTGCAATTCGTGCCACCTGATCGCGTGTATATACAGTCAGTCGCAAAAGCCTGCATCGACTCTGTAAGTTGCTATGTTGTGAACGATAAAAAAAAAAAAAAAACATAACGATACTTTGAAAACAAAAATATTTAGCAAATTCGTTTATAATTAACGTCAACCGATACAAATCGTATATTAGTATATCAAGATTAAAAATTTGAAGATTAAATTAAAATAGAATGAATTATTCTCCATTTTAGTTCCAGTCCGAATTTAATGCTTATTTAATGATTTGCGTATCTAACACGCCTAACTGATGCAATTGGACTCTCCCCATTTGAAGCATAAATTTTAGCTTTTTGTACTAGCAGATGTAGTATGGTGGCTGACTGCATCAGCGATTAGGTTTGCTCGAGTGCTCGAGACATTCAAATTAAATTCGAGCCAACCAAACATAAAAGTACTCGTTTTATGGAGTCGTGCTGAATACTCGATCGTACGAATACTAATTCGACTAGCCGAGAAATAGCAAATTATTCAAACAGTCGACATTTTTAAAACGTTCACTCGTATGGTTATACTTGCTTGTGATATGTTTCGAACAAGAACGTTCAACCGCTTCGTGGCCACACTAAGTTGCAGTAAATATTATTCCTTTTGTTTTTTTTATAAGTGCACATCAGTCTTTTTGTATACTGAAATTGCGAAATAAAACAATGTATTTCGAAATATAATTGAAATACTTTGATTACGGTTATTTTATCATTGTACTGAAGTTGTTACAAGTGGTGTACCAGCCAGTGGTGCGATTAAAAGTTTCAAATAGAGGGAGGAAGGGGTAAACTGTTTGTATATACGTATTTATAAATAAAATCTTGATGTCGTGGACACGAAGGGGTTGAGCCTTGATTCCCTCCAGCGCTCAAGGGACAAGACGGTCATGCTCATAGGACATGTGCAGTGTGCTCGCATTACCACGCTCAAGTATTCAACGTGAAGATAGCATAGAGGTCGACGTATCCCAGTTTCATATTTAAAACAAAAGTTACGTTGAAAAATTGTAGAGTGGAAGCACTGTAGGGAGCACAGTTGAGCTTTATTTGAATAAATTTCCATTCGAAGACATTCTTATTCAGATAAATAATTGGACGAATAAAGGCAAAACTCTAACTGAACGATTTTGTAAATTGTGTGAAACAGCTGACTTACAGCGAGTCTCGCAAATTGTCGTGCCCTGTATGTCTATCGAGGAAATTTGTCTAAATTAAATGATAGGTTTGATATTTTCAAATAAAAGTTTCATTATAATAATGTACGCGAATAAACTTCAAACATTTTGTAATGACAAATTTAGTTCGAAACATCAATACTTATGTGACTGACAGTTACTTATAGACGAACGTCGCGTTTAAATAACGAAGAAAATATTATTCGATTAAATTCAGTTCGGATATTTATTTGTTATTCGAAATAAAATTTCGCATAAGTATGTTATCCACGTTTAGGTAGAATATGGAAAAGCTGCGAGTAATTCAGCGCATATTGTTTCGCTACATTTTCTTCATTACTTTTAACTAAGGGCAGACTTAAATAAAACGTTCTCTAATTGTAATTAGCAAAATTTATTTGGCCACTCGCTACTTCCTCGCGACAGTTTTTCAACGAAGACATGGCAGTGATAAGTGCCACTGTTAGATGAATACGAAAAAAGTAAAAGTAAAAAACATGAGAATTTTTCACTACCCCAACAGTTAACTGTAGTAATAAGATACTTCTTTCCAGGATTGTATACAAAAGAAATAACGAAGTATCAAGTAGAGAAAGAAAATGTATAAAAGTAGCACTAAGTATACGTTAGAGTACAAAGGCGAGGCATGCCCATAATCAACCTACCATTAATTGAAATTGACGACGAAATGAAATTCCATCAATGCTTTCCAACGAATGGAGAAAAAATATATTTTCTCTTTTTTGAAATTATCATTATAACTAGAACCACTGCATATCATACAGTTCGCGTTGATCGCAATGCTATTCGAATACTCACATATTCAAACAGTATTCGAACATTTCAACGGTTGAATATTTAAATATTCGAGTAATTTAATACTCAAATGTCGAAATAATCACACTCGAATACTCGGTTAAGTACTCGTGTAATAATATCGGAATAATAACATTCGAATACTCAGACATTCAAATAACGATAGGTATTCGATGTTTATTTGTAACATTCAAATACATGGAAAAAATTCGAAAGACATTCAAATAGTCCCAGGATTGGCGTGAATGCTTCCCTCGGAAACAAAGTTATAATTTTTCTTTCTGTCGACCCCAAGCGTCGTTTGAACGTCGACCTTAGAGCGCTAGAGGCAATCAACCATAATACCATGGCTCGTCTCCTGGTACGAGCTGCGCGCTATGCAATTAAATCGACTTTCGCGAGGGCGAGAGTTGATCAACGCCGGGCGAAGGGAAAGGGGGACGGGGCGGTCGTCGAGGGTGATATACGAAATTCAATAAGAGCAAAATCTATTTCGATTTATTATCAGGGACGGTCCCTCTTGCGCGGGGGTGGTCGTGTCAGCGGTGCGGCGGAGGAAACGAAGAAAAATAAAAAAAAAAGAGAATAGAAAAGAAAAACCGATTGGAAAGACGGAAATAAAAGGGGAGATCGGAAAAGCGCGAAAGAAAAGAGGACGGAGTCGAAGATTATAAACGATGCTCGCGTCGTTCGACATTGCGCCTGTACCATTTTGCTTCTTTAGCAGAGTACAATGCCATTTATTTTTGTAATACGTTTACGTAGGATAGCTCTTATTTTTATAGAGGTTTATCGTGCTACCGTAAGTCTAATAGAGGCCTGCGTATAATATAGTGGTAGAGTTTTCACGAGGAGTCGCGAATTCCACGGCACGCGGGATTCGACACGCGAAAAAAAAGACACGCACTTCCAGCACTCGCTTTTACGTTTCGACCATGCGTTATATCATCGTCACGAAGGTGTAAGGCACGTGTCTGTCCGGGTAACTGATCGGGAATCCCCATACAAATTAATAACCACGATACAACGATTAAGTATTTCATTGTTTTATTTTTGTTATTTTGTTTTTTTTTTTTCGTTTAGGTATGTCAAAGTGTTCAAATCGTAAAAATTTATTTTCAAACATATAACTATATTTTCAATTATAGTTCTATTTAAACTTTCCGCTATAAATTGGCAACGTAAGATGGTCGACGAGCCTCCCATTTTGGCTTCATACCGCACCACGTCCTTTGCCAGCCTATGCCTCGGCTGAATATATCCTATATTCCTATGTCCGTGGATGAATCGGTCATTGGTCAAAATAAAAATTGTTATTGTCTTTTTATATTATATTATATCTTCGTGAGAACGTTAGCAGTGGATCGGCGTGATCGTTACAATGGATGTGAGACCAAACACGACCATGTTTGAATCATTTTTAATAACACGTAATTTGAATCGTTTTTTAATAATCGAGAATAATTCACATGAGATCGTGTTTGGACTTACTTTTATCAGGAAAATGTCATCAATTCGATCAGAATTTGGTAACGCTCTCACGAGGATGTAACGAAAAAGATAAAAAATTCAATTTTCAGTGAAATTTCAATGAAATTTGACTCGGTATGTTTGACGAATCGTCCTTGTTTGGGATTTGTAGTAGGAATGATCATGGTTATATTATCCGGGGTAAAATTTGGTCAGTTATCCGGGTGGCACTGTAACTAGTGATGGGACTGATACCGTATCGATAATAGTGTATTACCACATAATAGTGTAATTTTATATCGAACTGTTCCGATATCTACATGAAAATATCGATACTCATAGCCCGTTCTTGACTTCAATTTGCGATACTGATGTTTTTGTAATAAATACTTATTGATACATATAACGTATAAATCGAGTAGGTTCCAATACTACTGCAAATGTATCAAAAATAAGAAACAAAGTTTATGGTATGAATATAATTGGTATGCAATAAATAGTTGCAAAGTATATGTGACTTCACGTAATTACTTTTACCAACTGGATTTTGTAATTACTTGGAGTTGCATCTGTTCTTGCACTTCTTATTTAACACCGATTAGATATTATTTCTTATTTTAGAACATTCACATTAGTATTTATGCCTCCTATGAATTATAACACTGACATAATATTCGAGATTTCAATGCGTTTCAATACATTCATTACGTACTTTGGTATCAAATTTTATTTTATTTTATTTAACGTCTTTATTGCATATACACATATGTAAAGATGTAAATATAAGATGAATACATATATAAAATAATATACCGACGAATGTGTAAAAAAGACCACGTTTTGTTGAAGCGTTATTCGTAATCTAATTTGAAGCTGCTCGAATGCAAATTTAAGTGCTTGTACAGCGAGTGTAGAAAGTATTCGTACACCGATCAATTTCCAAAAAAAACTAGGTAAAATTGTAATTTATTAACTTATTTTTTTATCAACAATGACATTCTACATATTCTCGGAAATCTCTAGAATAGATAGATTACAAATAAGACAGCTATTTATGTAAGTTGCGAAATTAACAAGAAAAAAACAATTAATCGATAGAAATGTTGAAGCAATAAGTATTCGCACAACTGTTAAAAGTATTTTCCTGGAAATTTGATGTTTTCTAATTCGTACGGAGCAATAAACTAATGTGTTTACGTTACAAACTCTTCTGTAAATGGTTCGTCATAAGAATCGTACAAATACTTATTGCTTCTATACTTTTACCAACTTTTCCCATTTTTTTGTTAATTTCACAAATTATATTAACTAGTAAATGTTGTTTGGGTTATATCTATCTCAGAGACTTGCGAGAATATGTAAAATATCATTGATTATAAAAAAAGAAGTTAAGAAACTACAATTTCACAGAAAAGTTTTTTGGAGAAATTGATCGGTGTACGAATACTTTCTACACCCACTGTATATCATCAATATGTATCATATCAGTCCTGTCACTAATTGTAACTCGTAATCTATCATAGGGCAACGTAATACGCTAAGAAATCTGGGTAAATCGAGCTCGGTCGTTGCACTTTAGAAGAGGGGGTAAATAGCAATAACAGAAACGCCAGAAACAATAAAACATTTCTCTGCGGGAACAACATCGATCGATGCCGCTTAGACGACAATTTCGATCCTTTTCATCCGTCGATGATCTATTATCGTCGCAGCGGCGTGCGAGACGACGTAGACGATAGTAATCGTGTAATATCTCTTCCGCTGATCGTTGTTTTACGTTAAACGAATCGGATGAACCTTTTCACTTGGGACAAGTTTTCGTAAATCGTAGCTATATCGTATAAACAAAGAAGGAAGTGTAATTGTGTGTATGTGTATTATTCATTGCGGTTAAAGACGAAGTAAACAATAGAACGTCCCATTGGCCGTCCGCGTCGACACATTGGGTGCATCCCGAAAGGTCACCGCTCCCTAAAGGTGAGGTCCCATCTATCTGACGAGCGTGCTCGAGCAATAAATTGTCCGTGCTCGCCGGATTTTGTTCGAAAACACGTTCCTACTAGCGAGCAAAAGGTCGCTAAATGCGACGACGAACAGTTGGAACCACTTGAAAGGATCGATTTTTACGAGCGTTTGGGTCTCCGTCCACGGACTAGGCTCGCGAACACGGGGGACTATTCCACGCGAGCCTGGATCGAACGCTCAAAAAAATCGAAAAACCCTTTCGAGTGGTTCGAAGCGAGACCCCCAATGCTTGTTTTCACCGAGGCCGTAAGCGCCTACCTTGGTTCGCTCAAGGGTCTGGGGTCAAACGGGCGATCGATCAATCAGTTTTTGATACAATCGAATTCTTTATTCATCGTATCAACGTGAACGCGATGCCATTGGATTCTTGGTGTTCTCCCGATGAAAATGATATCTCACGTCGCGTAAATCGAACTACTTTTAACGAAATAACTTTTCAATTATGCAATCAGATTTTCCATATAATTTCGTTAAAAATAGTCCGATTTACGCGATGTGAGATATCATTTTGATCGCAGAAGCATCAGAAATCGATTGAAATCACTTCCGCAAAGTTCCGATAAAAATTGTCGAGGTTGGTATTTTCAATTCTTTATGACATCCCCTTGTCGACCACCCTTTGCGATGATGGTGCGTGGCCTTTGTTGAGATTCCGTGCTCGTTTAGGTGTTCGCGGCTCGTTGTGCCAGCTCGCCTGTGTCCATCAGACCCTCCTGCGCGACGAGTTGACACTTTCAAGTGGACGTTGCTCGTGCTCGCCGCCCGAACTTACATACACGGGACCTCACCTTAACAATGTTTGGTTGCGAACAACTTTTAAGTTGATCCGCTCGTAGAACGGTTCAATGAACGAGCGAGCTTCGCAACCTTTAACAACCAAACATGGTGATCGCACCCTGGTAGCAACCAATAGCTGAAAAGATCGGTGTTGTCATGTTTGGGAGCGAAAAATGGTTAAGCTCATCCGCTCACTGAGCCACTTGTGAGCTTAAAAATGTTTCGCAACCAAATCTATTGACCGCTACCATATGATAGCAGCCTATGTATTGCCTTGGTATTTTTCTTATCCAACGTTGTATAATGGGATTCACGATGTAGAAGCACGAAACATAAAACGTGACGATTAAACAATTGATGACGAAGCTTCCATTAAATAATTGCTGCAGAAATGAATAGAAAATCTTTTTTAATAGAATATTTTACTGGTGACGCGACCACGTCTCCAGAATCTTAATTTTGGGAATTATCCAATCGGGGTGTAACTGCCAATACGGCTTTGTCACAGTCGCGTGATTTTGTTTATCGTTTTACATTGTTATTCGAACGTGTAATAGACAACGTGTCCCGTAGTTCAGGAGCCATTTTCGCTTCCAATAACCGCGTTGTTGATAAAATAGTATAGTATACGCATCTCGATTACGTTAATAATAAATAATTAATGTAAAGCTGTCGAGTAGCGATGGGACTGAAATGTGCTTAAATACTAGCGATACGTTGACGTCAGAAATTGATTGTATCGCGTCGGTTCACCGAATGGGACTATTACAAACGATTTGGAATTTATCGAGATGTACAATTGTCGTATCGATACGTATCGATTACATCAAAAAAGTACTCCTTTACGATGATTACCAGAAACAAACCAAATAATGCGTTCAAAACCAACTGGCTGATAATAAACATTTCTGTAAATTCCTATTCAAAATTAAAATATTTCATTATATCTTCAGTGAGAATATCGTCAGTGGTTTGCTGGCTGTTTCCTGGTGAAAATGAGTTCAAACACGATCCCATTTGGAGTACATTTAGTTATACATATAAAAAATGATCACTTGCATTAACGAGAATGACGTATAATTAAGAATAATCCAAATGTGCTTGCGTTTGGTCTTACTCACTTCGACAAATATTAATTGTCCGCATTAATTATTTCCATGAAACTGTTTAACTCGAAATATTACGTAGATAAAAATTGATTCGAAGATATTCTAATTATGCCCGACTGTGATACTAAAACACATCGTTGTCTCGTCGAGGTCTCGATGATATTTGATGTTTGAATCGTATCGATACCGCAAGAATTGTCAACAAGTATACCTTACTAATCGACCTTACTATCGATACCGTCGAGCCAGTGTCCGGGGATCGATAAGTATCGATGTTAACGCGTACGTCATAGGATCTACCGATACTATCGGGCCCATCGCTACTGTTGAGTCAAAAGAAAACAAAATGCAGTTATGTGATAAGCGAGATCTCCGTTCTCGAACGTCTTCCCTGATTTCCTTGTTTTAGTTGGCTGAGGCAGGTTATCGTCGAATTATTCTACACGTACACCAACTCGCTCACGTATACACATACACGAGTACACTATTGGTCTATAAATGGGTTGGTAAAAGCGGAAAATAGAAGAACAATGTGAAAGATCGATTGGCTTCGTTAGGGAGTAAGTATAAGCGTAAGATCTTTTATTGCTAATAATTTTTCCTCAGGTCAAGTCTTGAACGGTGCCTAAAACCCTTTGATTTAAGGAACAAATGAAAAAAAGAAAAAGAGCAAGTTCTGAATTACGTGTCGATGAACTTTTCTTATATAGAGAGGGCGGTTCGTTGTAATCGAATTTTCGCAGTGTGGTAGTTCGCGTTCGTCCTCGACAGAGAGGGAGGGAGGGAGGGAGGGAGAGAGAAAAAAAATAAATTAAAAAATACACGAGAAGGGAAGGGTATATAAAAATGAAATAATCATTGGAGGAACAAAAGATTCTGATACGATACGACGATAATGATAAGATATACCTATATACATACCGTCGATGCGTAGAAAGTACTGTGTCATATACGTATATGATACATATAAATATATATACATATATACACAAATACACACACACACAAAACACACAAACACACACGCGCGCGCGTGTGTTGTATGCAAGGGTACGAACGAGTTTGTGTGAGTGCGCGCGAACGATGCGTGGGTGCTTGTTGTGCGCGCATGTGCGTATAACATTAAAGAAGAGGATTAATCGTAGTGCTCCGTTTAAGGAAAGCGTACAGGATGCAATGAAAATTGCGTTGCAACTGGTGATAACATTACATTTTCTTAAATGAAAAATAAATCTAGGTCGTAGAAACATAATTGTTTCATTTAAAGTCTCGTTAAAAATGGTCGTGAACTCGGCTTGGTTTTGACTTCCGATAAGAATGCAATAAAAAGAAAAATGGTAACGTCCAATCAAGTATGCCACCATGTCGCCGACTAAAAGTATCGAAGATTTGTCTCGATTAACACGTTGACCATCGTCGTGTGCATCGTGTTTCATACACCGGACACGAGTTATAATACTCTGCCTCGATTGTCGCGAGTGACACGCTGCGAAATTATATTGCTATGTTTTTAACGCACTACATTGCGGTAGCTATTAAGTTTTTTCCCTTTTTCTTTTTATCGAAAATTCAAACATAAATATGGGAATAAATGGAAATAATTATTAAGCGTAGACATTAATTCTGTGCCTCTATATATAATTATTTGTAACTCTGGTCCAAATAGATATACTTACTCGTAATTTTGGTACATTCAAGTACCTACCTTCTAAATCCTCAACCTGATGTTATTCTTCTACAATTATTATAACTACTAGTTATATGTGTAATCTGTTGGGAGAAGAATAATAAGCAAAATAGTATGACTAAAGAACTTCGTACATGTATATAAATTGTAATGGCCATCGGGTTGAGAATTAGGTTATCATGTCGAGAACTTAGAAAATTGGTATTTTAACGTGACAAAATGACAAGTAAATATTTCTACTTAAACTAGAATTCCAAAAAAAAAAAAAAATAATAATAACGAATGATTGAATACAAAGGGACAGAATTAATTTCTATACCTGATATACATATCTGTTCCCCGATTTACGCGGTATAAATCGAAATTATGACTTTTGAATTAATTCACTTAAAAAAGATTTTCTACATTAACATACATATATTAACACTAGATTTACGGAGATTTCTCATCAGATATCTATTATTGAAGTAATGCTTTAATAAGTGAAGTCGATTTACTAAAATTGATTGGGAGGTTTAGACAAAAATGAATTTGGATACATGCTTGTCTTTTTATATGGATAAGAATCAGCGTAAGTGGTTGTCGAAAAATATACACGGTTTCTGTAAAACTTTGCGAAAATAGGAATGGATCAAGATGACCGTGCTCCGAAAAAACCTAGTGTTAATCTAGGCTGGCGTTAATTTTTACATATTGTTACTAGGTATATAAAAAGCCGTAATTACTGGAATTAAAATACCTATGAATATGCTCCCGGTAGATAAAGTGCTAACCGTAGTTCGAGTCTTCCATACGATATCTTCGTGGAAACAGTATTTTTATTTATCGTTGAACGTAGAGCATGGAAAAAAAAAGTCCAAGATCGAATAACATTTTCTTGAATTCCAGCGATCTGCGACCTTGCATCGTATGCAAACACGACGGAAATCTAAACCGATTGTGTTCGAGTTCACGTGCACGTCACTTATGCTCGAAGCCGTCTTTCTAAGACTGGACGATCCTCGTATAAAACGAATCAAAATTGAGGAAACTCGTTTATAATTTGTTTCCGCAAAAAAATTTCAGAATTCTCGATCTATATTTTTATATAGAAAGGATTGAACCGAAGTTTCGGAGTCTTTTCTTTTACATGTATAGATTCCAATGGAATTTAGAATGAAAGAGGTATCGATTAATTTGTTCGACCTAGGAAATTTCTTGAATTTTCGTTTCGCGGCTGATTTGCGACGCGTGCTTTCGGTGCATCCTGTACGAAAGAATAATTAAAGCTACAGATTTAATATAAACGACAATGAACAAGTAGGTAGGTCACGCCGATACATGTATGTACCTATAAACATAAGTTGAGAGTACGCACTTTTGTAATAGTAGTTCTGAGACGAGAAGAACAAAGCGATATATGATAGTGAATGATATATTATATATATTATATATATGTATACACATATGAGAAGAAAAAAAAAAATGAAGTTGACGCTTGATACACCATAGTTTTCACCGACATATCCTGGCTGAACACATCCTCTTTACGTGCATACCGCATACCTATTGTAGTTATTATTACGATACACGCGATGTTAGAGTATTTTATGATTAAAACGATAATAATATTATTACGGTTATTATGGATTAATTATGATTATGATTATGATTATTGTCATCGTCATATTATGATTATTAAGGAGTATAGGTACATGTAAACGTAACGATGGTACAACTAAGGCAAGTATGTACTGTACATAGCTGTCACTTACCCCCTGCCCCACCATACCGATTATATAAATATGTATATATACATATATAAATATAAGTATATATAAATTGATATATATGTGTATATATACACATAAAGCCATCATATTGCAGAACATTAATCATTATTGTATTAATGACTATTTCGAACTATTATTGTCATTATTATTACTATTATTTTATCGAAAAGAATTGTAATTGTAATTATTATTATTATTATTATTATTATTATTATTATTATTATTATTATTATTATTATTATTGTTATAATTCCTATTATGATCATTATCGCGACAAGAACGTAATTGAAACCGTGTCTAATTTTAATTAGCGTATGAATGATATATTATCATTGCTGAAAGTAGATCCTCACTCTTAGCACGGGCAGCTAGAAAACTGTATTCTTATTTTTCTCAGATTGGATTCTACCTCAATTTTATTATTATTACTATAACGTGGAAAGAAAAATGATAAAAAAAAAAAAATACGAACAAACGAGGCGTCCACCACACTTCTCTATCCTTCCATTGTCTGCTAAACTGAAGCACTTCGATCGATTAAAAATGCTACTTATTATTACTATTAATTAAACTAGTGAGAATCGTAAACAAAAACAAAATACTGCAGCGACCTCAGCCTGTGATAGTTACAAAGGATATTATTTCAATTAAGAATCTGCTGTATTATGTCAAACGTTAGATCAAAAAAAAAAATCAAGCGAAATGTCCGTACTACGTTTACGATTGGATTACTATTATTAACGAGGCATTTCTGCCTAAACGTCGAGCTCATTACGATCGAAAAAAGAAAAACGAAGGCATGGTGCGAGGGACAATGTTATATAGTTTGATACTGTGTTGATCGAGATTAGTAAGACTTTTTAAATTTAATTTTTGTAACGAGCTTTGTTGCTATCGTTGCGATCGCTACGTAGCGCAGTATGTATGTATATATATATACGTTATTATAAAACTTTGCTTTTACGATATTCATGCGTATAACAGTGATGTATATTTACGGTTTACACGTTTCCTTGGAGAGCATTGTAAAGATAAAGGACACGAGTTCTAATACTTTTTCTTTGAATCATATATACTATGTAATTACGCTGATACTCGTAATTTTATCTGTAACCGCATGTGATAAGAGACAAGAGAGTACTCAAGAGTACGGAAAGGCAAGTGTAACGAATGTCATCGAGTGCTTTAACAAATATATATATATATTAATATGTAACAAACGCTGTGCGCTTGTGATCTTAAGAATTTACGTTTTTTCTTTTTTAAAGCTAATCCATACTCTTCTTTTTTCTCTTACATGCTGTGTCATGTAAACGGCTCGAAGTTTCCGTACGGTATGTTCCTTTATTAGACAGAAACAAGCAAAGATCATTTATATTAGCTGTAATGATTGCCTGTAGGGCTTCTTTGTAATAACTTTCAGTATATTACTGTATTGTGATGTTAACTTAAGCCATGGACCGAAGTGGGAGAATTTTCTCGAGGTCGCTGTAGTGTATTCTATCGCTGAGGTGAGGGATCACTTTCTCAGTTTTTTAGATTGCTCAAGGAGCACCAAACAAGCGAACAGTCGACTGTTTAAGAGTAAGGAAAGAGTGAAACAGATTGTACCCGCGTAATTATCTTTGAGTGGCGAAATGCGACGATTGGGGACTGTGTATTGTGATCAGCAAACAGACTACAATGTAGTTTGTTCGTAATCGAATGAACAAACGGAAACACTTGTGTAATAAAGTAGATATCCATGAAAAATCTTTCATGATTTTATTTGCACACTTTTCTTTAAAGGGGAAAACAGGCACAGCGCGACAATTTAGTGAATACTTCGATTTTGTTCTTTATTTCTTTATTTTTACATTATTTTTTATACTTTTAAGTCTGAATGAATAATATTAATAGCAAATATTAATTCTGTTTTCAGCAAACTTTATTTCGTAACGAAATCACTTGAAAGTACACTTTATCTTTCATTCCATCTCAACGTCGACAACTGCATCTTCCACGATGATCTGTTCCGATGTCACAGGAACTTGTATTATCGGTAAGGGATCGGGAGATCGAGTGTAAGTGTTACTCGTTGAATGCTCTTTAAAATATTCCCCACCTTTCTCTTCATATTCCTTTTTGCTTACTAGAAATTCCGGAAGATTTCCATTCAGACCAAAATCTCTTGCTCCATACCATGCATCAATGCTGGTGTTTTTTGCGATATTTATTTGAAAATTGGAATCAAACGGTCTCATCTCACGAAGTTCGCGATTCAGTCTCTCTAATAAACCTGAAAAGAAAATATTTATTAACGTTTCGATATGATTTTTACGCCTTCATTAATTACGCAGCAAACATCGTTATTGCTAAGACAAATGTTTTGTAACCATCTAGCAATTAATATTCGCGTTTAAATTAATTATAAATTTGCAATCGTTCTGGAAAGTTTAAAATAAAAGATTTTCCTTCGCACTTTATACATAGATATTACAGAACAATGGAACATTTATTCAATTTGATTATTCAAACCTGGAAACGTCGTCGGACCTCCGGTCAGGAATATATTTCCCACCAGCCGTAATTGTTGCTCAGGTGGGTACAGTTTTAAAACGAATTCGATTGTTTCAGCAATGCCTGCTTCCATGGAACCTATTAAAGACGGTTGGAATAATATTTCTGGAGCTCGCAAACGTTCCACTCCTATATGTAATTGATGAGTTTCTCCGGGAACCATGGGAACGTTTGATCCAGCTCCGTCGAATTCTGGGTCGTGATGTCGCAGCACATCTTCGAGTTCCAGAAGCTTTTCTTGTTCTAACTCTGAGTCTGAATCTCCTCCTTCCTGAACAGTAATATTCAACATGAACATGTGACTCAATACCAAAACTATAGACTTAAAATGTTGTTTACGAACTCTGTTTATGACTTTGTAAACGTCCCAGTCTTCGTCTCTCATACCAAAATCATCGTCACGTTTCTCTTTCCTCGCCAACTGACTTATTATACGCATTCTTTCCTGTGCGGCTGCTGTTCTACGTTTTGCCATGTCCTGTCTGCGTTGTCTTTTGGCCATTCGTTTTTCTAATATCTCTTGTCTATTGAAAATGATCTTATTAAATAAAAATTATTTTAAAATTTCAAGCAGTGTCTCTCCATTGGCAGTACTGCCTGGAAGGCTGAAAACGGAGTAGATCGGTTACCTTTTCTTTCTTACACCTGCTATCCATTCGTCAAAATCTTGTTGATCTTTCGGTTGTAGGCTTGATTTTATTTTTGGTTTCTGCTCTTCCATTACAATATTTTCTTCTTGCGAATTAGCTGCCACTATCTTTTGTCTAGTTCTTTCCACTTTTGCTTGCAGATTATTAATCATTTTTATCAAGTCTGCTTCGTTTGCAAGCGAATAACTCTTTAATGCTTGATCAAACTCGTCAGTTTCCCCTTCTTCTAATAAATCTTGAACAGCTAATAACTGATTCAATTGTTCTTCATCTTCCGCTAACTGTAAATGCCAGTTACTTTAATCTCGTATATTTACATAAATATACATATTTTTATATGTATCAAAATTACTAACTCTTTCCTCTCTTTTTCTTGCATTAATTTCCATTAATCTCCTAGCTAACTCACGTTTTCTTTCTTTCTGCTGTTCGACTGTTAAACCAGGAGCACTTGAGGGCGCAACATAAGGTAACTGTACCCTTAATACGTTTGCATCATAATAATCTGGATCAGCCCATTTAGAAATTTCTTCTTGGTAATTTAAGGCAATCATAGAATGTTCATGTATTAATTCCTGTTAAACAGGAAAATGAGTTATATAAAACATCTAAATAAAAAAGTTTAACTCAGGAAAATAAGTTCTTGAAACTATAAGCGACAACAAAGTCAAAAAATGTGTAATTTACATACCTCTGCTCGACTTGGTGTTATAGCATTTACATGTACCGGATATTTAAGTTGCAGCAGCCTGTGCATGTAAGATGTAATGTGGTATCCACCAACATTGATTCTTCTTGAATTTACAGGATCTGCTTTACCATCCAATATTGGTATTATATGAGTAGTGTGATATCCGATACTGATTATTAAGCCATCAGATGGACAATTATTATGCTGATAAGAAAATAAACAGTCTACTCCATATGCTATCGAAGGTACATTATAACATTCAAATAAAAGTTCTGCCATCACTGAAATGCAAACAATTAATGATCTAACAACAATCGATGATTAAGTACAAGTCAGTATTGTCTTACAGTTTCGAGAATAATTAGGATTCAGAAAAGTTTCAGTTAAAATAATTGGATGATTGACTGCGCCTTCTGTGTCTATTCCCATATGAGTGAAAATATAGTCAAATATTTGTTCTTGGGCTTCAAAATGTGTTACTACATTACGGTCAAATTGTGTTTTTAACTGAAATCGTACAGCTTCAATGTTCGCTATATCATTTCCAACCTGTGGTTCACCATCCTTCTTGCCACGTTCCTTTCGAGGTTTTGCAATAAGATTTTTAAATATCAATTGGGGTTCTTTCTCTGTGGCCCAACCAACCCTACACTTGTATGATCCTAATATAAATTATTTGTTAATCTTCATTGCATAATGTATGTGCTATGGAAATAGATATATACTACATTTTATTTACCATTGTCAATAACAAGTGGAGTTCCTTCAGACTTTACTCTATCTGGATAAGTATGAATCACGTCAGGTATGGCCTTGACGTCTTTTAATTCAAGTATTTCCATATTATTTAATTGAAAATAATAATTCTTTTTAAAACTTAATGTATTATACTGAACTTCTGATTACATACAAATCTGTTTTTGCTCGACGACAAAATGTTCAAGTTCGTTGTTAAATAGTTGTCTTATTTGCAGTTAGATGGCGCCACTAAGTTAATTTTGAAATGAGTTTCTAGGGAGAGTGAGAGGGAAGTGGAAAAGTGTGCGTGTTTCGTCCTAGCCTTTAGACTCATTATCAGCAAAGTTTAAATTTCGTTATTGTTATCTACGGTATGATTTCGTTAATTATCCTTTCATGTAGCACTATAGACGTGGATTTCCCTAGACAAAATACTCGAAGTACCTAGGAAAACGGAGTTTCCTCCCTGGATGTGCCAGCCAGCCTACTGGTCTGGCAGAATGGGGATAACGAAGGTAGAATTTTCGCGGTAATTCAAAACGAAACGAAAATCAAACATAAGCACCAAATAGCATCAAGTCGAGAAAACTTCGAGCCTCTTATTATGCCGTGCTAGTAAGTAGTGAAACATCCTTACAATTTTATATTTTTTGGTGCAATTTAGCAAATATTATTTCGCAACGAAGTTGGGCGTTTTACCGCCAAAAGTTCGCTAGATGGCGAGACTATTCAGCATACGCGACATTTGAAAATAGATGAAAATTTGAATTTATTTATTTAACTGATCAAAATAATTGTTTGCAACGTGTTTTCATAGCATTTTCATATAGATTATTTTCTTTTAAATATGGCAGAAAACTTTAATCGATGAATCATAGCCTCATAGGTACTTATTAATTTATTTCCTATCCAGTTTAATCATAAAATAGAGAGGTTTAGGTATATAAAAAATCCTTACAAATTTATTTATTTTATAAAAGATTATATTTATCAGCTACTAGCTGTAATCGAGTGATATATTCACATATTATAATGTAAATAATATAAGATATCGATGATTTATAAGTACGGATTAATTGGAATTCACCATTTATAGTTGAAGTATAATGAAAAATAGTTCTATATATACATCTTCTTAGATATATTTATTACAGCTATATATAAACAAAATCTTGGAAAAAGTATAAGTTTCTATTTATCTAATTTCTTTCAATAATTTTCGTACATTTCTATTATTTTAAAGCGATCTCTAACATTTTGTTAATATTAACTATTTTTTCTCGTGGTTTTCCCAATTCTTTTCCTTTTTCACACTCTACTTTGTCAATTTTCTTCCAATCATTGTACGATACTGTACGTATACCTTTTTGAGTCAGAATTTTAAAAAGATCTATCGCACCTGGTTTGTTGCCTAAAAGTGATAGTTCTTTACTTATTAACCCAGCAACATGAAACGCATTTGTCATTGTTGACAATATAACTCCTACAGGGCCTGTTGCAACCCAACCAGCAGCATAAAGATTAGTTCCAACTTTGCCTTCAGAATTTTTAATACGACCAGTTTTGTGATCAAACAGTATCGATGTATCTATCTGAGTAGACTTGTAACCAATACTACGAAACGCCAGTCCACATGGAATTTCTTCAAAAGTTCCAGTCGGTATTGAAACTTGTGAAAGTATATTATCGCCTTCGAGTCGATTTATTGATAGTTTAACACTATTTACACTATTAGAACCGAAAAATTCTACAGGACTTCGAAAGAATATTGGATGTAATTCTTTTACATTTACTCTATCGATAGGTGTTTCTTCTAAATACTTTAGCATAAGTTCAGTCAATCTTTTTCGTGGTCTTGCTAAGGTGTTAACTACATTCTTTATATTCACAAAATCATCTGTGCGCCAATAAGTTCTACAACCATCCAATTTTAATATTTCACGCAGTTCAGCGATTGTAAAAGCAGCTTGTAATGGTCCTCTTCTTCCTATCAATGATACTTTACGTACTTTACTTTGTGATAATTGTTCCAAAGCAAATGATGTTATGTCAGTATTCTAAAACAATGGAATTGTAACTACAGTAGAATGATCATCTCAAAATGTATTTTATTGAAAGTTGAAAATATACCTTTAGTTTGTCTATCGGTGTTAACAGAATTCTTGCAATATCTATAGCAACATTACCTTGCCCTAACACAACTGCTTCTTCTACATCTAAATTAATTTTTAAAGTACAATCTTCTGGTACTCCATTGTACCAACCAACGAAACGGCGTCCTGATATTACATTACTTAAATTTTCTCCAGGTATATTAAGTATTTTATCTTCCTCTGCACCATATGTCTACAATGTTAAATGTTAATTACGATTAATATACAGCGTTAAATAAAATAGAAATAAATACAATAAATTTATGTCATGTGTACCAACAATACTGCATGGTACATTTCTTGCAATTGTTTTATAGTGACATCTTGTCCTACGTTAACATTTCCTATAAATTGAAAACGTGGATTAGATGCAGTTTTCTCAAAAGTGTGAATAACATTTTTCACTTCTGGGTGATCTGGAGCTACGCCGAAACGTACTAAACCAAATGGTACTGGCAATTTTTCCAATATATCCACATTAATATTGCTGGAAGTCTGTATCAAATAATTATGTTATAATATTATTTTATTTATATTAAATACATTACACACCTTTAGTAATTGTTGTGCTGCATAAAATCCTGCTGGTCCTGCACCAACAATACAAACTTTTGGGACAATATGTTCAATTGAAAACAAACGAATATAGTTACATATTGTACCTACTTTCATGGTAGCAATTCGTATTGATCTAAAATGATACATTCCAAATTAAAATTACAAGATATTTAATGCATGTAATTAAATTTTATAATTGTAAAAAACTTTTTTAAAGAAGGCAGCCAAAGACTATTTTACCTATATATATCGTTTCATGTAAGAAACTAAGAAATAATTTGAAGTTAATTTTCTTACAAAAAAACTTTTCTGTGTAGGAATTATAGAACAGGGTATTCTGTATGATACTAGTGGCAAGAGATCAATTTTTCTCATGAAAAACTGAATAGAAAATAGTGAAGTGAATATATTTAATATAAATATTACTATATAATATCTTCATTAACTTTATTAGACATTATATAAATGTACAAGAAAAAAGTATAGCATTTACAAATACATTACTTATTGTGATATACAAAAAGTATTGGTATAACTTTGGCTATTCACACAATACAGATATATGCTGTGTTATTCTTTGTGTTGGATATTTCCTTCTAATTCATTGAAAACATAACGAACAAATGATTTGATAACCCAGTGGTTAGCATCCACTATTGTGAAGAATAAATCACGTTCTAGAAGAAGAAGAAACATAGTCAAATATGATTCTATAAAAATATAACCGAAGTCCATTCATCAGTTCTTACCATATAAGAATGATGCAGGAATTATTTCTAAAATAGAATTTCCTTTTTCTTGAGCATTACAAGAAATGGTTTTAATATCGATTAAGTTTTTCAATATTTTCGGGTTGTAATTATATTGCTTTAAAGTAATCTTTAATCCCAAGTTATTACAAAATTTTAATTTGACTGATTTAAAAGAACAACTTATGAGGTGAAAAAGCCCAACACTGAGATGGGTCAATAACGAATAACCAATTAAAATTAAGTGATCTCCACTACTAAGATTTTGCAGCGTGTTATTAATTTTTCTAATTATTTCATGACTGTCATAAATATCTGTATATTGAAAAAATAAACTTTTATATTTCGATTTAATAAGAATTGTTTTTTTTAATTCGTTTATACTTTCAGTGGATGGATATTGTATTTTGCATCCCATGTTAACAAGAATGTCATTGACACCCTTTTGTATGTTTAAGACACTCTCACAGCAGAATCTTGAACTATATACTTTAGAAAATATTTTTCCAAAAGATATATGTAAATCTTCTGGATAGTGACATATCTTGAACTAGAAAGAAAGACTAACTTTAGTTCATAGCATAACAAAGTTTAAATTCAGTTGAAAAAATGGGGAAGTAAGGGTGATAAAATACTACAAAAAATTAGCTTACTTTTGCATCTTCATCAAGTGATGTATGAATTTCTATTTCTTTAGAGTCAGTAAATAACTTTTTCAATTGATTCCACGGTGTTAAATGTTGTTGCTCGCAACGTTCACTGAAGGATCCCTGTAGTGCTCTTTTACGCACATTAATGCTGCTACTTGTTTTCAATATCGTGTTTCCTATTATTTCTCCCGAGATTAATTTTTGAACATTATAATCTCTTATATATTTAGAAGCAACCATATGTTGAATTTGTTTTATATCATGTAACATTTTATGATTACATAATTGAAATGTAGAGATGTTATTCATTATGACTGAACATTGTAGAGACTTAAAAAATTCACTACACTCCACAATTTTTTCTATAAATGCACATGGAATATCATCCTTACTGAACATTGCCTGCTCGGAGCAGCATTCATAATGTTCCCTAAGTGTTTCTAAGTACGGTGACACAAATGTTGGTCCCTTGAAATCTGTGCACACGACATAAGTTTCTGAATTCCCTTCTTTACTAGTCACTGGTTTAACTATGTTAACATTACCAAAACAACAAGACAATAGATAAATCAGGCATACCGAATGGCATTCGAAAGTGGTAAACATCTTTAATAGAAAACTGCCTCCAGTGTTTAAAAGATGTAAAGCAGTTATAGTTTCACAAAAATGTAAGTGTGCTACAACATTTTCTTGTTCTGCTGGTACATCCAAACAGTCAATACTGCCATCAGCAGTGATTAAAAATATGTCGCTACATGGTTCTGATACTTTTACAAGTTTGTCCAAATTTTTTAAGTTCATAAGATTTCCAGTATTATCTTCTCCAAAACACCAATGAGTTAATGTATGTCTTATAAATCTGTCATCATCGATCATCATAGATGATGGATTACCCTCATAATATGGATTTAAGGTTGTAGCAATCCAATCCCATTGAATGCTAGGTACATTTGTTTTTAACCAATGATTTAAAGATGTAACAAAGGCTCCTGGTGCTTCACATAAATGAATAGACTTGAAGCATTTATTACTGTTGTTAATACGATCAATTGGTATTAGGGGAAAGGTCGATACTATTTCATAGAATTTGCACCATGCTTGAGTTAAGAATTCTGGTTGAATATCTCTCTTCAGGTGTATCATAACATCTTTTGCACTGTTTCTTTGTTTTGTATGTAACTGCCATTTGCTAAGATTATAATTGTTTAAATAATTCTTCACCACGTTTAATTCATACTTTAATGTTTGTAATTTATCGACGTTCCATAAACACTCTTTAAACAGTGCTTTTGGTTCAGGCAACACGTAAAGTTCATTGC